TAGTGATGAAATTGTTAAATTATTTTTATAAAAAATCCAAAAAAATATAATTTTACATATTTTAAAAAATTAAAACAAATATAAATTATTATTAAATCTATCTATCTATCTATATATTATATAAGTAAAAGGGAATTTTTAACCACAAGTCTTGTGGGAGCTCCATTATCTCAAACTAAAATTTCTAATTTCTTGATTATAAATAATTTAAAAAATCCTCCATAGGTTTCATTCAAACAAAAATAAATAAATAAACATTTTTGACTTCTCCCATACCTGCTACTACACCATTTTCAACTTCTCCCATACACTATAGTTATTATGAGATTGTTAAATGATTTTTATAAAAAATCTAAAAAAATAATAATATTGTATATTAAAAAAATATTTAAAACAAATATAAATTCTTATTAAATCTATTTATCTATCTATCTATATCTATATATTATAAAAGTAAAAAGGAGTTTCTAACCACAAGTCTTGTGGGAGTTCTAATATCTCAAACTAAATTTTTTAATTTTTTCCCACAAGTCTTGTGGGAGTTTCAATATTTCAAACTAAAATTTTTAATTTTTTAATTATAAATAATTTTAAAAAATCCTCTATAGCTCTCATTCAAGCAAAAAAATAATAACAATAACAATTAATATCTCTTGATTTATGACTTTCAAATGGAAAGTATATCAAATGTATAAAATAAAAAATAGAAAGTATACTAATCCATTTCAAAATTCAAATTTCAGGAGCACTAAATATGGAAAGCATTCAATTAATTTAAATTTCAAATTATAATGATTTATCCCATAATATACAAGTTTTAAATATTGATCTATTACATGATTTATCTATATATCTATCTACTATTATAATTGTAAAATATTGTCATTTCATTAAGGTTGAAAGTTGTAATTATTTTTTTTTCATTTTTTCATTTTGTTTAATTTTTTGTTAATATGTGTTACAGTGTGATTGGTCTATAAATTAATTTTATATTCTTAAAATAAAATTTCAAAATTAGATTCTTACATAAATTATGTTATTATAAGTGGAATGAGATCAATATTCATTCATTAAATTTTGCATCCTTTATTAAATTATAAAATAAAATTTCAAATTATATTACTACAATTAGAATGAGATCAACATTCACAAGTGTCATGATGATGTGTCATAATATTATTGGTCTAAATATAATTTGTTTTATATACATGGGTTCAAATTATTAATCTCTATTAAGTTTTTTTTCTATTTTTGTTTTAAATTTTATAAAAAAAAATTACATCCTTCTAAACTATAAGGACTTGAACAATAATATTTTTTAATATAATTTTTTTTTAAATAAAAAAACAAAACATAACTTTTTTAGTATTTACCAAACATGGTGGATTTTGTTAGATTTTATTTATTTATTATTATTTCAATTGTCAATTAAAGAAATTAAAATAAAGAATAAAGATATCTTTGACTCAAATTGTTAAAAAGTTACTTTTGCTAAAATAAATTAGAAAGAAACGTTATTTTTTTTTTTAATTATAAATTATTGGTCTAAATATAATTTGTTTTATATACATGGGTTCAAATTATTAATCTCTATTAAGTTTTTTTTCTATTTTTGTTTTAAATTTTATAAAAAAAAATTACATCCTTCTAAACTATAAGGACTTGAACAATAATATTTTTTAATATAATTTTTTTTTAAACAAAAAAACAAAACATAACTTTTTTAGTATTTACCAAACATGGTGGATTTTGTTAGATTTTTTTTATTTATTATTATTTCAATTGTCAATTAAAGAAATTAAAATAAAGAATAAAGATATCTTTGACTCAAATTATTAAAAAGTTACTTTTGCTAAAATAAATTAGAAAGAAACGTTATTTTTTTTTAATTATAAGTGATAGTTCCGTTAAACTTTAAAAGAAAAGAGGGTTATATGTGATAATTTATTGTTCATCTAAAATTATTTTCAGATTAAATGAAAATACCATATTAAATTTTCTTCTTACCTTTTTTATTCAAATACTTTTATTTTGTAAGAAATTTGATTTCATTCTATTTAATATTTTATTGTATTTTTCATATAAATTATTTATGCAATTATAAACATTAAATTTTTTTAATATCATCTTAGTGGTAGTTTGGGAAGTGCCAAATAAGTATATTTTTTTTCTTTTTATGAAAAGATGTATAGAAAAGTAGAGATATGATGTGACATAAAAAAGATAATTTAATATATTTTTTTACTTTTTACGAAAAGATGTATAAAAAAATAGAGATGTGATATGACCTAAAAAAGATAAAAAAATAAAAAAAATGAGATAATATGACACTTCTCAAACAACCTTTTATTCGATGATTCATTTCTAAAAGGTGTATTTTTTAAATATTTTCAAGAAAAATTCTGTTGGAAATCTTAAGTATATTGTTTTTTTCTTTTGTTCATTAATATTAAAATTTTAATTAATTTTATTTATTATTTTAAAAAATAAATTAGAAAATAATTTATATATTTATATATATAATTTTGTTTTGGTTGCTCAGGTTATTTGGTGTTTCTGCCAAAGTCCACTCAAATTTAATTTAAATTTTTGAATTTCTGCATAAGTTCTCACTTAATTAAAAACTATGTTGTTCAATCGTTAAAAAATTTAAAGCTCGAGTCAAGTTGCTTGGGTTGAGTTCACTTAAGTTTGCAATTCTAGCAAGGAAGGTTGAAAGTTACATAATTAAATTTGTGACAAATTAAAAAATAATAAATAAATTGTGATAAAATTGTGGGATTTAAATTGTAAATTTCAATCTTCTTTGTTTTCATAATTTGCATAAAAAAATTTAACTATTTATATTATTTTGTATAAAAATATATTATTAATTTTTTTGAACTTCATTTTACCCCTCAAACTATACCTTAAAAATCAATTAGTCTCCCAAATATAAAAAAAAATTAACAACCCCTTAATTTTATTTATACTTTATTATATATATATATATTTTTTTAAATTTAAAATTCAAACAAACAGAAATATTTTGTATTTTCTTAATTCTTTTTTTCATTTTTAAGGTTGGCAACCAAATTATTAAAGGCGAGGCTATTAAATTAAAGTATTAGCAACGTATTTGTCATCTAATTCGTTAAACAAATAATTTTATTTGGTTTGAGTTTCTTAAACACTTTTCAGAAAATTTTATTTGCTTATTTTCCGTAGTTTTTTTTGTTTTTATTGAATTATTTTAAATATTTTAAGCAATTTTTATTTTTATTTTTAGACACACCTAACATAAATATACTTAAAAAATATAATTTTCGTGAAAAAATCTTTAAAAAATTGACTAAATACCAAAAATATATGAAAATTTAGTATATAGTTCGTATTTTTGTGTATTTATTAATTTTTTGAAATATTTTTTCACAAATATATATTTTTTTAGATACATCTAAGTAAAGTGCGTCTAAAAAATTAAAAAAAAAATACTTAAAATTTTAAAAATATTTTCTAAAAATAAAAAAATACGAAAAACAAAGAACTCAGTTTTTAAAAAACTGAATTCAAAAAACTGAAATCAAACACATCGATTAATTTTATAAGATAAAACAACACGATTTAGGGCTGGTTTGACAACCCTTGAAAAAGCTAAAAAGTCAAAAAATTACCAAAAACATTAATAAGTTATCACTATTCATCAAAAAAATAATATTTAAAAAATAATATACAAATATTAATTTAAATGGTAAATTAATATAAAAATTTAATCCGACCAACCCATCAACGTACGTCAGCCACATGCAATGAAAGGAAAAACAAAAAATAATAACATGGTTACATTCACTTATTTGCATGGTAAGGTTGGGCTTGTGGGGGCCACCATGAGTCTCATTTTGATAATGTGAACCGTTCAATATGTAGAACTCGTCTAGTACTATGTACCTATAAAAAATCAAGTCTATCGTATATCGCTAACTATATGATCAAATCAGTTTTATATAAAAATTGGATAGTATTATAGTTAACAGCTGACAAAGAAAACTAACACGATCAGATAGTTATCGATATCCAATCAACGTGATTGTTTATAAGCATGTAGTACTTAATGAGTTCTACACATTGAACTTTTCCGATTAGAAAAATAGGACCCGTGGTGGCCCCCACGGGCCAAACAATACCATCCAATCAAAGCTTGAGAAGTAGACAATATTTTTTATCTACTCACCCAGCCGGTCACCACTGCCATTTCGTACGGCTCCTACCCTATCTTCTCCTACACACTTATTTATACAATTTTTTAATACACATTTTTCATAAAAAGTCAAAAAATTAACCTAAAGATCCATATTTTTTTCCTCAACTTTTTAGTCTAAAAAGATAAAAAATACACTTATTTAAAACACCCCAAACAACTAGTACAGTTTCTCAGAATTGTTTATATTTTATAAATTTGCGTCACATAGTGGTACAAAAATACATTTAGGCTTTGTTTGAGTAGACAAAACAAAGTAATTTATTAATTTATTTAGATCATATTTATTTTTCTGTATGTTTCTTCATAATAATAATTAAAAAAAAAGGGGTCATATCTAAAATAAGATAGTTAAAAGCCAATTTTTTAGTTGTTTTGAATTTTTTTAATCACATTATCTCTCTATTTTTCAACATATTTTTTTTTGAAAAAAAATCAAAAAATTTAAAAAATCAACTTTAAGCCATCTTTCTAAAACACTCTAAGGGCTATTTTGCAAAGATGGTTAAAAGCCATCTTTCAACTTTTAATCCATTTTGAGTCTCATCGTCTCTCACTTTTTTACACGTTTTTTCAAAAAATGCAAAAAAAAAAGAAAATAAAAAAAATCAAATTTTAACCATCTTCTCAAAACAATCCTAAATAAAATAAAAAAAATTGCACCAAACACGTCTCATTGGTGTTCAACCGCCAGGGGCAAAACGGTCATTTAACATACACCACTCGTAATAAAGTATAGACGACATACTGACCAGTCATATCATTAGTTTCCATCATTTTCCGAGTGGACAAACGAAGCTCCATTAGCTCCTCCTCTTCCTCCACCTTCCTTCTCCATCTCTGCAACAAAGTTTCTGCAAAGGTTCGAACCCTTTTCTCTCTCCTCCTTTCTTTTACTTATCCAATCATAATCTGCTATTTTTCTGTATTGTTTTTGTATGTGTTTCGTTATTCTTACTGTAATAGATGTTAGATCAGATCATTGGATCTTCTTCTTTTTAAACTGCAAATATTTGATTAAGTTGAAATAATTTTTGGGTTTAATCAATTAAGAAGCCTCAGTTTCTTTTCCCTCCTTTTTTTTTGGAGATGCTGTTTTTTTTATTTTTTTTAAGAGGATCATGGGGTTGTTCTGTGTTAATTTTAGGGGAAATTTTCATGTCAAACTTTTTAATTCTTGTAAATTTCCAATCTTTAGTTGGTTACGCTATGTTTGGTAACTTAGGAGAGAAAAGAAAAGAAATGATTACTTAAGTAATAAGAGAAAAGAAAAGAAATGAAATGATTGTAATTTCTCTCCTTTTTGTTTGGATAAGTAAGAAATAAAAGAAAAGAAATGATTGTGATTTCTCTCCTTCTTGTTTGGTTAGATTTCATTAAGAGAAAAGAAAAGAAATTATTTTATGTTTTATTACCAAAATAACCTTTTTATATTTTCAATCATTTTATTTCTTTTATTTTTATAGGGGTAAAATTGGTATTATGAAAATATAAACATTTGTGGATTTCTTTTCTCTCCCAATCTCTCCACTTTTGGGAAGATTGAAAACAAGGGTTATGAGAGAAATGAGTTTCTCTCCATTTCTCTCTATTTCTTCCCATTTCTCTCCACTTAAGATAACCAAACAAGAAAGAGAAATACATTTCTCTCTATTTCTTTTCTTTTCTCTCCAAATCACTCAATCCAAACACAGTGTTAGTGTAACTCTTACATATGGGAAGCAGAAGTTTCAGTTTATGATTTTGTCACATTGATTTTTTTTGATAAATAAGCATAAATTTATTAGGAAAGCATCAAGATGATGCAAAGAATACAAAATTCAAACCCTAAGGAAAAAAATGCTAAGCTTTCAAAGCCTTCATAAAAGCTACATAAGCTAAAACATTTGGATCAACCAACCCCGTGACCTAATTATATAACACTATAAACACCCACCTCTCCAACCAAGAAATCGAATGAGAACTTTGCAAGATTGCCAACACCAAACCTAGCTGCACCCAAACCTAACCAAAAGTCGCAACAATAAGCATCCAAAGTCGAGATGTAATTGGGTAATGAACGAGCAATTGGTCCACCAACTTAGTATCACCACAACAACACAAACAACACCAATTCACTAGTATTTTCCTACGGCGAATCAAATTATCAATCGTTAGAATACGTCCTAAGGTTGCCGTCCACACAAAGAAAGCTACCTTGGATGGCATGCCCGACACCTAGAACATTTCTATGGAAATGAAACCGCATCAACATAAATAAGCGCACCATAGGACGAAGACACAGAAAAAAGCCTCTTAGAGCTCGGACAGACCCAAGCCATAGAATCCTCCCCTGCACTCCTAGCTTGCAACCAGTATAAGAAACCTAACAGCTCCACTAACTGATCCACGTCCCAATCTTGAACCTCACTACGCAGTCGCACGTTCCAAACCACCGCCTATCCTTGCCCCGTTCGAACCGCCCCCACCATAACCTCACAATCTTCTGTAATCCGAAAAATCAAAGGAAACAACTGCTCTAAAGAAGTATCCCCACACCACCTATCACGCTAGAAATGGACTCTATTTCCCAACCCTACCTTCAGCTGAATCCTCTGCCAAAACTCCTCCCAGCCCAACCAAATTCCTTTCCAGACACCATGACCATGAGGCTGTCCCACCCTACCTGAACACCACCCCCCTCTTCCCAGACCAAACTTTGCCACAACTACCTTCCTCCATAAATGCTCCCTTTCCCTTACAAAATGTCACAACCACTTACCTAGCATCGCTAAATTAAACATAACCAACCACCTAACCCCCAAACCCCTTTTCTCCTTAGGACGACAAATCCGATCCCACGCCACCAAATGAGAATGAGAACCCTTCCCCCTCATCTCCTCATAAAAAATCTTGCTATAACTTCTCAACCCGCGTTGCAACTACCACTAGAATCACATGAAACGACATAAAATAAGTTGGGATACTCGACAAGATACTCTTGACCAAAGTAACCCTCCCAGTGTTTTTAAAGGCTCAAGGCACACTAAGGCGCTGAAGGTCTCTCAAGGCCCAGGCGCAAGGCGAGGTGCGAGCTTTATTGAAATAAGGCGCACAGTCTTAGTAAAAAATAGAAAAATTAACATAGACTAATCATTTATAGTACTAAGACAATTTTTTTAAAAATAAAAAGTAATCAAGATTTAAGATTCAAGACAAAATATAAAATAATTCTCAAAGCTATGAAAGTGCATATTACATAATATTCTAATTTTCAAAGATAAAACAATCAACATTCAATAAAATAAAAACAAAAACAAAAACATAAACACTAAACATCCAAAACATAAATATCCAACAAATACTAATATACGTCTTAACATTTAAAAACATCAATATCAAAAGAAATGGTAGGTTAGGTGGGTCAGTCAATCATCATCCTCAACAGCAATGGCAAGCAAACTATCATCTTCTTCTCCATCAGTTGATTTATATCCCTCAACATCTTCCTCCTCTGTGTCATTTGAGCCCGCTTCCTCTTCATCTATTAATTGAAGTGGAGTTAATCTTGATGATTTAGATATCCTCGGTTGTGCCTTTGAGCGTGAACTTGTTGCTCTACTTGCATGGCTACTTTCTTCTACTTCAGAAGCTCTAGCAACAGTGGCCCACGTCAAACCATTATTATCATCAAACATGCTCATTATCTGCATCTGATTCTCCATCCATCCTCCCAAGCAATCACTCATTGGTTTCATCAATATTTTGCAAAGATATGGGATCAACAGTGTTGCACATGTCATAACTAAATCTCAATGTTTTGTTATATTTGACAAACACTAAATCATTGAGACGTTCCAATTTATTTCTTTTCTTGCTATGAAGCTGCAAGTATTAAAAAGATATTAAATTCTATATAACGAAAATAAAAAATATTTGAATTGAACAAAAAATTAGTTAGAATGTTAAATACTCACATGTTCAAATACACTCTAATTTCGTTCACAACCCGATGAACTACATGTTAGGCTAAGGACTTTTATGGAAAAAGTTTGCAAGTTTGGAGTTTTAGAACTATATGATGCCCACCAATCAGGTGCGATAATCACTAGTTAGAAATAATTGTTACAAAGTATTGAGTTTTACTAAAAGTATTACTAAAAATAAACTCTATTGAGTCTATAATATACTACCTGGTGCCCTTGTATTTCTTTGCCTAATCACAACAGATTTACCAAAAAGACTCTCAGCCTTCATATAAATACTCATCTCAGACTCTCAGCCTTCATGATCTTTTTGCACCTGTAATGCTCTTGGGTAAAAGAATTCTGGGTTAAGAAAGTGCGCAACTGCATGTAAAGGCCGATGCAATTGGACATCCCATCTTTTGTCAATGATTTCGAAAATTTCATTATACCTCTCTTCTTTATGATCAAATGAACTTGCAATGCATTTTTTTGCCCTATCCATTGCCTCATAAATGTATCCCATGGGAGGTTTCTTCTCGGTATCAACCAATCTAAGCACTTTAACGAGAGGACCCGAGACCTTAAGGGCAAACACGAGTATTCCAAAATGAAGGCATCAACAAAGTTTGTGCCATTCTTTTACCTTGTGGCTCCTTTGTCCATTTGCTTGAGGTCCAGTCTTCGGAGGTGACCATCTTTCTCAAATTATTTTTTTGTTGATGCATCCTAGACAAAGTCAGAAAGGCGGTTGCAAATCTAGTTTTTGCAGGCTTGATCAAATTCTTCAAATTTGTATAGCACCTCATCATGTTTAGCAACGTAGGCCGGTTGTAAATGTAGCTCTGTACTGTAAAACCCTTTCAAATGTCTTTTTCAATCTAGGTATCTTGAAAATGTCTTCTAACATCAAGTCCAAGCAATGAACAGTACATGGTGTCCAATACAAGTGTTCATACTTGGCTTCCAAAAACCTCCCTATAATGTAACAATAAAGAACAATTATTATTTTCAAGTTTTTAAATTTTAAATACAAAACAAACTATGAGTAAACAATTTTGATGTAAGGAATGAGGAAATATTCTTGCCCGCCAACACATTAGCTACAACACTATCCGTGATAACTTGCACCACATTATCTTTTCCAACTTTCTCCGCAAACTTGCCTAGTAATTCAAATAGCTTTTGCCCATCCTTTGAATAGCTAGAAGCATCAACCGACTCAACAAACATGGTTCCTCTTGGACAATTAACTAAAAGGTTAATCAATGCCCTTCCTCTCTTATCAGTCCAACCATCAGTCATTATGGAACACTTGTATTTTGCACAATCCTCTTTATGATTCTTCATCAAATCTTTAGTATGTTTCACTTCTTTTTTGAGTTGGGTAACCCGCATTTCATGGTAAGTTGGTGGCTTCATACCAGGACCATATTGCCCAATGGCTTCAATCATTGGTCCAAAACTCTCATAATTTACTGCATTAACAGGGATACCAGCATCATACATCCACCTTGCAAATCTTTGCACTGCCTGAGCTCTCATGTCTTTTTTGTAAGGATCATTTGCATCAATTTTGGTTTGCTTTCCTTTTGCTTGGTCTCTTTGATTTTTCATCACTGATTCAGGATTGGGTGTGAAGTAAACATCCATGGGCCCTTTTCTCTTTGACATTTTTGATTTGGATTTGGATGAACCTTGGCTGCTACGTGTCAACTTACGGCGTTGATTGACATTGATCTCAACAACATCATCATCCTCATCTTCATCTTCCATGTCCATGTCATCGAAATCAGGTAACATGTTCATTTCTTCTTTTTGTGTCTTCTTTTTTGACATGAACTCTCTAGTCTCTTCTCTTACATGAGCTGGACACTTCGAGCAAGCAGTGACATTCTTAAAACCTCCCGCGAGGTGTTGTTTCACTCGATAAACACCTCCATTTGATACTTTACCACAAAAATTACACTCGAACTTGTTTAAATTATTCTCCTTCACCAAATGGGCATATTGCCACGCCGAATCTTTTTTATTACTTTCCGATGTCATTTTCTACACAACAAATTTAATAAATGGAAAATAATTTCAGTGTAATGTAATGTGTGATGAATTAATTATTTTTAATTTTTTTCCCTAACAGATAAAGGAAAAAAAAAAGACCAATAGCACATTGTATTAATTAATTATTTGTAAAAAAAAATTCAGTGTATTTTTTTAGTTAATTAATCAAAATCAGTAATATAAGTATTTTTTTAGTTAATTATTTTGTATTTGTATTTTTTTTCAGTGTAAATTTTTTTTCAGTGTATTTTTTTTAGTTAATTATTTTGTATTTATATTTGTATTTTTTTTTGTTTCTAATAGAGACTCAACTCAAACGCATAATTAAACACAAAAAAAAGAAAAAAGCAAAATAGAGCAGTCGAAGCAGCCCAAAAGAAAAAGAAGAAAGAGACAGAGAGAGAGTCAAAGTCGAACCACACCTGAAGAAGTCAAAGCCCAAAAAAAAAAAAAAAAATAGAACTGAAGTCGAAGCAGAAGAGGCGGAAAAAAAAAATTCTGCACAGCAGACCAGAAGAAGAAGAAGAAGTCGAAGCATACCTGCGAAGTCGAAGTTGAAGTCCAACAGTCCAATCGAAGTTGAAGTCCAAGGCGAGGCGAGAGAGGAAGAGACGACACAAATTAGGGTTCATGTGAGTCGTATTTGGGTCATATTGTACATGAGTTGTAATCCTCTGTAGTTAAGAGCCATTTGAACACACCCTCACAACCGTTAGATCAAATCTAGCTCTTAAACAATCAAGCGTGCCTAGGCGTGAGCTTTGCGCCTCTCTCGCCTAGTTCAAGTCACGACTAAGGCGCGCCCCTACCTCAAAGCGCCTCGCCTGGGACCTGTTCAGGCGCAAACTGTGCACCTCGACTCGCCTTGTGCCTAGTGTCACAACCCGCCAAGTTACAACATAACTGCTTACCAAAAGAAAGTCTCATGGAAGGGAGGCTAAGGGAATATTCTGAAAGCTCCTGGAAGACTTGAGAAAATTAGCTCTTAAACAATCAAGCGTGCCTAGGCGTGAGCTTTGCGCCTCTCTCGCCTAGTTCAAGTCACGACTAAGGCGCGCCCCTACCTCAAAGCGCCTCGCCTGGGACCTGTTCAGGCGCAAACTGTGCACCTCGACTCGCCTTGTGCCTAGTGTCACAACCCACCAAGTTACAACATAACTGCTTACCAAAAGAAAGTCTCATGGAAGGGAGGCTAAGGGAATATTCTGGAAGCTCCTGGAAGACTTGAGAAAATATGAAGACCATACAGGATGTTGGAAGCTTCTAGAACTCCCTAGAGTATTATAGACAATTGTACATAAGACTAGAAACTTGTACATACTTCTAGAATAGGTTCTTTGAGAGGATGAGGGAAGGATCTAAAACCCCCTCTATCCATGTAGATCTAGAATAGTCTATTAGATGTAGGAGGAGGAAGTGTCTAGAACACTCTCCATCATAGTAGGTCTAGAACATTCTTTGTAAGCCTATAAAAAGGGGAGGGCCTCATTTGCCCAAACCACCTAAGAAAACCCAAGTGCAACCAAGAGTTGTAAGCTTTCTCAAAGTATATACAAGGCATTCTCCCAAACTCTCTCTTTGTGTTCTTCTTTCTTCTCTTTCTTGCAAAGTTTGTGAGTTAGGCTGACTTAGCATCATCAAGTAAGACTTGAGATTGTCTAAGTGCCGTATGGTTAGCTTGGAAACAACCAAGTCCGTGACGTGACAGTTGGTATCAGAGCAAGTTCAAGGCAAAGGAAGAGAAGGCAACAATGTCATCTGGTGTAGAGGAGACTGTGACGGAGCAAACCCGTGGAAGGGAATCCACGAAGGGAATGAAGGATGAGCCACGAGATGTTGTGACCACCATGGAAACACGGCTTGCCAAGGTGGAGCTTGCCATGGGCGACTCGGGGGAGCGTCTTGATGTGTTGGAGCAAAGCCTTGAACAAGAAGTGGAGGGTCTCAAAGGAGAGATCAAGGAACTCCAGGATGGCATGCTTTCCACCATCAATTCTATGGCACACGATGCTCAAGTGGCCAACGATTCCTTCCAAGCTAAGGTGTTGGAGATGCTCGCACAGTTTGAAGCTCGCTTGGAGGAGGTGCACCAAGACGTGGCAATGTGCAAGAGGGCCATAGCTGGGGGCGTTGTGACCTTGCTGGGGACATCCAAGGTGGAGGTGCCAAAACCAAAACCCTTTGATGGAAAGAGGGATGCCAAGGAAGTGGACAACTACTTGTGGCACATGGAAAGGTACTTCGAAGCGATGGCGGTAATCGAAGAAGATGCGAAGGTACGGACCGCAATCCTTTACCTCACCGACACAGCTACACTATTGTGGCATAGGAGGCATGCTGACATTGAGCCTGGGATGATTTTAAGAGAGAACTTAAGAAGCAATTTTATCCCGAAGATGTGGCCTACTAAGCAAGGAAGAGCATGAGAATCTTAAACACACAAAGTCTATTTGGGATTATGTAAGGGAATTCTCTACACTCATGCTTGAAATCCCGAATATGACTGATGAGGAATTGCTCTTCAACTTTCTCGACAACCTACAACCATGGGCGGAGCAAGAGTTACGACGCCGAGGCGTGCAAGACCTTGCAATGGCCATGGCAGTGGCAGAATCACTTATTGAGTACAAACGTGGGGATGGCAAGGCCAAAACATCCAAGGGTGACCCTAGCAGAAATTCTAGTGAAAGTGAGGAGGATGAGAATGAAGGCATCCGACGCAAGGAAAGACACGGCAAACCTCCTACTGGCAAAGAGGGAAAAGACAAAGCCAAGTATCAATTCAAGGACAAAGGCAAGTTCAAGCCCAAGACCAACTGCTTCTTATGCGATGGACCACATTGGGCAAGAGACTACCCCAGGAGACAAGCCCTCAATGCCATGATTGAAGAACGGGAAAAGGTGGAGACTTCGCAAATAGGGTCTCTACAACTAGTCGGTGCCATCAAATCGAAGCCTACTACATTGACCCAAGGGGATAAGGGTTTAATGTACGTCGATGCGAAGATCAATGGGAAGGCGACCCCGAGTCATGGTAGACATAGGCGCGTCGCACAACTTCATCAAGGCAGAGGAGGCCAAGAGGCTTGGCCTGAAACTTGACAAGGGGCAAGGATGGATGAAGACAGTGAACACCAAGGCAAAGCCCGTAGATGGCATGGCTCGTGGGATTGAGCTACACCTTGGTGGGTGGCGCGGAAAAGTCAATTTTTCGATAACATCACTCGATGACTATGACGTGGTGCTAGGAATGGAATTCTTGCGGAGTTCAACGTGGCACTGTTACCTCACAACAACACCATGTGCATTATGGAGGGAGGGCCTTATATGGTACCAATGGTGAGTAAGCTAAATGTTAAACTCCAACTTCTATCAGCTATGTATATTAAGTTGGAGACGGACAAGAAAGAGGTAGTAGGCATTGCCAAGAAGATGACTAGCTCTGCAGAAGATAGTCCACCACCATGCCCAGTTGTTAAGTCATCAATAGGGCAAGTGGACAAGGCAAATCTAAGAAGGCACAAGTCAAGAAGAAAGCCTGCGACTTCAAGGAAGAAGACGCGACGAGGGCGTCGCGAGCATAGGTGGGGGAGAATGTCACGACCCGCCAAATTACAACAAAACTGCTTACCAAAAGAAAGTCTCATGGAAGGGAGGCTAAGGAAATATTCTGGAAGCTCTTGGAAGACTTGAGAAAATATGAAGACCATACAGGATGCTGGAAGCTTCTAGAACTCCCTAGTGTATTATAGACAATTGTACATAAGACTAGAAACTTGTATATACTTCTAGAATAGGTTCTTTGAGAGGATGAGGGAAGGATCTAGAATCCCCTCCATCCATGTAGATCTAGAATAGTCTGTTAGATGTACGAGGAGGAAGTGTCTAGAACACTCTCCATCATAGTAGGTTTAGAACATTCTTTGTAAGCCTATAAAAGGGGGAGGGCCTCATTTGCCCAAACCACCTAAGAAAACCCAAGTGCAACCAAGAGTTGTAAGCTTTCTCAAAGTATATACAAGGCATTCTCTCAAACTCTCTCTTTGTGGTGTTCTTTCTTCTCTTTCTTACAAAGTTTGTGAGTTAGGCTGACTTAGCATCGTCAAGTAAGACTTGAGATTGTCTAAGTGCCGCACGGTTAGCTTGGAAACAACCAAGTTCGTGACACTAGGCACGCCTAGGTGCACTTTTCACAACATTGACCGTCCCTCCTTTAGATAAATACTATCGCTTCCACCCTGCCAACCGCCGTTGCACATGCTCTACCACCCTGTCCCACACCCTGAGGGCCTTGAAAGAAGCTCCTAAAGGTAGACCAAGATACGAAACTGGCAGAGAAGCTACCTTGCACCACAAAATCGCTGCCAAAAAACGGAAGTCGAGCCACCTCACCTACTGGAATTAATTCAGACATTGAAAGATTAACCCGAAGACCAGACATAGCCTCAAAACACAACAACACGCACCGATGTCCAATCTGACCAACATCCACATCACAAAATACAAGAGCATCATCCATATAAAAAAGATGAGATACGACCAAAGAGGTAGGTTCAAAACCCACCTCAAAACCCTGCAATAGGCCTCCATGAACTGCCCTCGACGGCAACTGCCCCAAAGCCTCCATAACCAGAATAAACAACAGCAGGGACAGGAGATCACCCTGTCGTAGGCCTTTATACGTGTGCAAAAATGTATCCACCGCCTCCATCTAGCCCCAAAACCCATCCTCACCAGCATATACAACAGAAACTCCCAACTAACATTGTCATATGCCTTTTCAATATCTAGTTGGCACATAATCCCCGCCTTCCTCTGCCTCAACCTCGAATCCACACATTTATTGGCCTCCAAAACCGCATCCAAAATTTGCCTACTGCCCTCGAAGGCATTTTGAGACTCAGACACCATCCTTCCCAACACCCCTCGAAGCCAATTTGCCAAAACCTTGGCCAACAGCGTATATACACTACCCAAAAGACTGCTAAGTCGAAAGTCTCGAATATTCTCCGCCCCATCTTTCTTGGGAATCAACGCAATAAAAGTGGCATTCAAGCTCCTCTCAAACTGTCTCGTCCGATGAAACTGCTCAAACATAGCCATCATATCTTCCTCCACTACTCCCCAACAGTGTTGGAGAAAAGCTGTGGAAAAACCATCAAGCCCAAGCGCCTTATCCCCAGGCATACTTTGTAGCGCCTCAAACACCTCTTCTTCCGTAAACGCCCTCTCCAATAAAGGACAATCCGCTTCTGGTATAACATGAAACGGAACCCCATCCAGCGTCGCCTCCAAACTCCCCCGTCAGACCGAAATAGATACTCATAAAACCCACTATGGCCCCCCCTAATCTCCTCCATAGATTATAACTCCACCCCATTCACCCGCAATCTCCCTATCTGATTCACTTGCCGATGCGCGTTTGCCATACGGTGAAAGAAGCTCGTGTTCTGATCCCCATCCTTCAACAACAGACATCTAGATTTCCGGCGAAAACTAATCTCCTTCATATGAGCCACCTGCCCAAATTCCTTTCAAGCTGCATCTTGTTAAAATATTCGCCTAAACTGTTGTCACATTGATTTGGTTCATACAATTGATGATTAGTCTTACCTTTATGCAATATAAAATACTTTTTTTTTTATTTTTATGAGTGAAGCAGACAAAGATAATGACTCATTTTCGTGACTATTATTATAAAAAGAAATAAAGAAAATTTGGAAAGGTTTCGGATAGAGAAGAACGGCAACATGGTATTTGCATTGCTGATCCTGAATAGTTTAGTTTAGGAGGAGGTTCATTTAAGGATGCTATAATCTGAAAATAAATGTATACGACTAAGAAAGTTTGGGATGCATTGGATTGAGTTTTTAAGATGTACAAAACTAGGAGTTCATTTTTAGCTAGATTATGGACTGCTTGGTTTTTTATCTCACTACGCTCCATTATACTAGATATATGATGCTCCAAGTCTTACTGAAAAAAAACTCAGCGGTCATGTTTGTTTGGTTTTCAGAAACTTGTTTTAGAAATTTTTTCCAAAAAATTAAAAATGAATTTGGTAAAAGAAATAAAAAAAAAAATCAAAAACACTTCCAATTTTTACATGACTTTATCTTTTGGAAGGCCATAAATAATTTTTAAAAATTTAAAAATATTATTTTGATATTTATTTTTATTAAATTAGTTTCCATTTTTTTCAAAAAAATTTCTGAAATTTTTTTCTCAAAAACAAACCAAAAAAGGCCAGCATCTTTGTTTTCCATAAATGCCCGGATGTTATTTCCCCCTCCATCTGTGATTTTACAATCCTTCCATATTCCACCTTTCATTAAATCCATCTAGGTGACAAGCTTAGTTTTCATATGGAACAAAGGATGCCACCCATTAGTTTCTTCTATACCATAGGGCACATCTATATTGTATAAATTTTAGAATATCGTAACACTGGAGAATAGGTCATACATTATTCAGGAAGTTGTTACTTACAGTCACTAAAGAACTACCTGTTCTGTTGCCCTTGCCTCCAAGTTTTGTTGTAGTCCGCTTCTTGAAAGTTCTCTTTGAAATTCTAGAGGGGTAGATTACTTTATTTCTTTTCAAGTTACTAGTTAGGACTTGATTGAGGGATCAATTGATAAACATAAAGTAACAAGACCAGAACTATGAACCAACAAAAAGAAGAATGTCGTTGGGCTTCTGTTCGAGCTCCTTAACAAGTTGCTAGATCGAAATAGAACATTCTCCATTCGCCTGCTAGCAGCAGAGGGGGTTTGCTTCCTGCTATATGCGATGTGTCGAAAAAGATTGATTCACATGATATGTCTTGTCTGCATTAGAGACCAAAATTGCACTTTGGCTCCTTACCTTTCACTTGTAAAAATGTTAGCCTCTACGTGCACTTGAATTGCAATGTTATCCCTCATCAATAATCATTGTTAAATTATAGTACTAAAATTAGGTGTGGTAGTTTGTTGACCACTTTGTGCTTAATTTGGGAAACACTTTTCATTCTCCAAGTTTCATCCAAATTTCACTTTGGCCCCCAAAATTGCAATTGCAATTGCAAATGCAAAAGTTGTACCTTTGAACTTTTAGTCAAATAATTGCAATGTCAATCTCTATCACAATTGACATCAAATTATATAAAAATCAGGCATGTAGAAGTGGTGGTAACGATCAATAATTTCAATGGAAAATGTGATGGTGGTTCTTTGTGGAAAAAAAGTAACTTAATGAAATAGTGTTCATGTTTTTTTTTGGCAGGAGATGTAGTGGACACTTTTGTATTAGCAAGAGAAAACATGACTAGTATAAGTGCTGAATTTCATTGATTGAGATGAGACGGTGAAGTGGTTGCTGATGAGTTTATTATAAAATGAGAATGGAGGACATGGTGTTGATGGGTTTTGTTAATGAGAGTTTTGAGGTAAAATTTTAGGGACCAAAGTAAATTTATGGTTGAAATTTGGAGGGTGAAAAGTATTATTCCAAATAAAGGAATATTGGTCAATAAATTTTTTATTAGGTTATGGGATAGTCACGTGCTTGATTTCTGTCTAATTCAATGACATTTATTGCCAAATGGACGACATTGAAATTTGGGTGCAACTTCGAGGTTAACGTTGTTACAATTGAACATTGGAGGGGCCAAAGTTAAATTTTGGCGTAACTTGGAGGTGATAAATGCACTTTATCCATTTCAAAGATAGACATTTATCTATCCCTCCAGCAGTTACACTGATGATAGCTTGTAAGTGTCTAGATGGTAGCAAAAGACATTGTGATTAGTGTTGTAAATTCTTGTATGATAAACTTGAATTCTTTTTCTAGGATATGAAGGTGGATTGTCAGTTACAATTTCCAATTCATTGTATTCTCATTATAGTTTTGCAAAGTGAAAGAAAGCTTCATGGGTGATGGTCCTCGAGGAATAAAAGTTTTCTCAGATCATTTTGAAGTTTCAACATCTGGGGTGGACTCTCCTCAAGCAAAAACTCCCTCTATTTCACATCCGAGGACAGATAACACTTTGAGGTATTTCTTCTTGCCAGTAGCGAAAGTGAAAGAAGCAAATACTTTGAATTGATTTCAGTTTGGTCTGTTGTTCTGCATTAGCATAGGTCCCATAGCCGTTTATGGTCTCGAAGAAAATTAAGAAATGCTGCATCCATGCTGAAAATGTTTAGTCTACCAAGGCTACCATGGGGACCTGACACCGATGATCAGGAAAAGGTTGATAGAATCATATTCTATTGCTAGCCAAATTGGTAGTTTATTTTTCATATTTCATGACAATCACTGTGATTATGATTTGCAGGTTGTTCTAACTGCAGCAGAAATAGAGTCTCTTCGATCAGAACTTGCTGATTTAGAAGAAAGAGAAGCTCATTTGAAAGCTCAGTAAGGAGAATTGATGTTTGGCTTTGAACTGTGATATGCTCCTTTTCTCTTTAAAGAACTATCCTCTTGCTGATTTAGAAGAAAGAGAAGCTCATGAGCTTGCATACTGCATATGCCTATTTTTGTTTTAAATTCTAATATTAGGTTCTGTAGTTTTCCTTTTTTTTTTTTTTTTTGACTGGGATAATCTGTTTCCTTTGAATAAACTTTATATGTTCTCTGTATCAACAATATTGAGATCATTTTGTTCCTTGCAGGTTGGAACATATTGATGAAATTTTGAGATCTGCTCGTCTTTCAGGCTATCTATTCATTCGGACTGTACTATATTCATGTTTTAACGTTTTTCTTTGTTTTTGAATGCTCTGTTTGTGCATGTTGATAACGATAATTTTCTGTATCTTTTCATTGATAGAGATGGGCAACAGTACCTGGTGAACCTCCTCCTATTGATGATACTGAAGTTGATGACTGGCTTCCACGTTATCTTGTCTTTCAGGGATCGTGTATCTTCTTTTATTTGTTGTCCACAGGTAGCTGATTGAAATTTTTGGCAATATTATGATGCGTTCGTTTGTTAATGCTTTCGTTTTTGGTTTTTTTGTTTTCATTTTCACATTTTTTTTGGAAATTGGAAATGAAAACTTTTTGGTATATAGTTTTCATTTTAAAAAAAGTGAAATTTATTCCAAATTTTCAAATTTTTTGGAAACGAAAAAAGGTGCTTTCACTTGTTTTCAAAATATTTTTTTACTTTTTCCTCTCTTCCCCACCATCCACCACCAACCACCGGACACCAACGGTCGCTGGCCGACCACTGGTGACACTTTGGTGAGCTCTGGCCATCTTTCATCGACTCCCGACAAGCTCCAGTTACTGGATGGTCACCACCCCGTGACTTCTGGCAACACTCCTGTGGCCATCTCCGACCACCGTATCACGGACCACCACATTTGGCCACCCCTCACCACTGGCCTGTACCTCCGGCAACTAACCATACATGATTTTTTTCTTTCTTTTATTTTTTTTTCTCAAAACATTTGTGTACACCAAACAAGATTTTTGTTTTTTTTTAACCCCCCCAAAAACAAAAAATCTTGGTTCTTGTTTTTTGTAAATAGAAAATACAAAACTGGCAACATTATCAAATGCCAAGAGTTGCTTGTTTCTTTCCCCAGTGCATCTGTTGTGCAAATTCGTCGAAGTATATAATTTATCACAAAAAAAAAAATCGTCGAAGTATATATTAAATCAAATTCATTAATCCTCTTTGCACATTTAGATAATATACTTTAGGGAGAAATGCACCAACATTTCCTGGTAATGAACTTGAAATAAATATTTTTGCAGATATGAGTCCTCAGGACTCCACCCTCCTTTCTGATGTCACTGAAGTAGGTCCTCTGCCATGCATTCAACGAGAAAATGAGGAAACTCGATACTGCTTTTACATTGTAACTCGTCAAGGGCTGCGATATGAGTGCTCTAGTGTTTCCAAAGTGCAGGTACACACTATTATTTGACACCTAGTTAGTGCAGATATTGAATGTTAGTACACTATCACCTACGTTTTGACAAATTTAGGGTAGCGTTTGGTAAAATTTTCTAAATATGATTTGAGAATAGAGTTGTATTTTGAGTTTGTGAGTTTTGGAATTATAATTTGAGTGTGGAAAATTTATTTGGTTATGAGTTTTAAAAAGAGTTTTGAATTGAATTTTGGAGGGAGTTTTGAGTTTTTGAAATTAGAAAAGTTATCTGATTAAAAAATTTACAACTCATAACCAAACACACAACTCAAAATTCTATTTAAAACTCATATAAAAATTAAAAAATTTCCGAAATATTTTTTATTTACAATATAAAAATAATAGGTGCCCAAGAAAACAAAAACAAAACTAAACACTGTTCCGGTTAACCAGGGGATGTCTAGGAGGACAACCGGGTTAGCCAAATTTTCCCGCCTGAAAAGGAGTTTTCAAAAGTATGTGTGGAATTATAATTTGAAAGCTCAAAACAAACACCACACTCAAATGAGTGGGTGGAAATGTGTTTGGAACACATAATCAAAGACAGCCTAGTATTTTCTGCCTTTGTCATCAATTCGTTCTCCTCACGCGAAGGTTGCAGTTACTTTATTAGTGGGATGGGTATTGATCTTTTGTTATCTGATGTGCTTTAACTTGTTGATCGCATTGGTCCCATGAATAATTTTGGTTGCATGAATTGCTAAAATTACAGGATGGTGTGAGACTCCTGGAAATCTAGGTCAAATTGTTTATCAGCATTGTGACAGGGTGTTTTGAATGTGTGTTTATTGAGTTTGTCATTTTATTTGCAGTTTATGAAATGGGTTGTTTGGAAGGATAAAACGAATTTATTCAATGAAAATTTTCTCCAATCTGATGGATGATGACTTCTTCTCTTTTTTTAACCTCTCTTTTTGTTTCTCTCAGGTGGACTCTTGGTTGACGGCATTGCAAATTGACTGCAAGTTGGGACCTGATACAGCAGCTCACACTGATTCATGGAAGACGTGACATAATTTATGCATCTGTAACTGTAAGTTGTAAATAGGTTCAAAAAATAAAGTGACACCTTGGATTAGCCAATATGCAACTTAGCAGCAATTTTCATGATATTCATTATGTTTTGTACGTAACATGGCATTCTGGTAGAATAACATTGAGTGTTGCATCTACCGATTAATCAGAACCATGTTTAGAAGTTGTACATAGAATCATGTAGGCTACCAAACCTTGTATTTGCTGGACATCGGAATTGGCCATGTCAAACTTTGTGCAGTATATACTCATCCATTTTTTTGAAACTTTTGCTGTTTGATCATGCACGTGTTGCTAGAGCTTCCATTTTTGGTTGTTTTCTCGTTAAGGCATCATTTTTGGACTGCACATTAAAGGAGCTGAGATTGATTATTTGTTGCTTCTTTTTTCGATAATGGAATATGGAAGAATATTTGTTGAATGATTGAAGAGGAATCTCAACCTCTTGGAAATTCTGCTGAAGTGCTTGCAACTTTCTTCAGAGAAGCTTTACCCTCAATCAGTGATGGACCCAATTGGCTGCTGGGGGCGACTGCTCCCCTAAAGTTTCAAAAGCATGCTTAAGGTTTTTTTTTTTTTTTTTTTTTTTTTTTGTGTACCTGTCTCCCCCGAGATTAGAAGCATGTGTCTGGCCCTGGCCTCAGTGCCTTCTGATTAATATCCTCTTTTTCTATTTTTTTTTTTTTTTCCTCGTTCAATAGCAAACTCTAATCCTTCCTAGGATATTTCAGAAGCACCAATCCTCATACTTTCGCATGTAGAACTGGGTAATTAACCGTTGAAACAAAAGGGGTCTAACATGCGAGATTGGAGTCGTGATATACAAACATAATATTTGTATGTAATTGAAATTCACCATTGATGCACATCAGCAATACTAAATTCTTCTTTGCAAAATTGTTAGGTTCAATAACTTGAATTAGACATGCTTTCTGGGCAAAATTGTGTAGTAACATCAAAAATTTGTTGTAATTTTGCTTCATACAGTTGGAGAAGATTGATGTTAGCGATACCAAATTTCTAGGGTGCAATTCTTTTCTCCATGGACAATCCATTAAATTAGGATTTAAAATACGCTAATGTGGAATTACTTTTAAATCTTTTTCCTGATGGATGATTGTTAAAGTGAGCCTTGACAGTGAAAAAGGTCTGTCATGTTCTTCTCTTTATGCAAAGAGAAAAAGGCAGGGAATGTATTCTCTTTTCTCTGCATCACCCCCTGCTACGCCAATAATGTTCTACTTGAACCAGTAATGTTAGAGATTGAGAATTTGAAAATATTGAGAAAATTGATATGTGATTTAAATTTATTTTAAATATGGGTTTTACAATAAAATAGTTAAATTTAAATCACATATTACTATTTTTCTGTGTCTTGATTTTTTTTTATTTTTTATTTATCTCCAGCATTACTTGAAAAGGAATATACTACATTCCATTTCCCCCCTTCTTTCTCCAAGTTGCTAAACCGAAACAGAATTGATTTTCTTAGGAGTAGAGAAACCCAATCTTTATCATTTTCTCGAAAAACAATCAAACAAGAGAAAATAGTTTTTCAGATAGGCAAATGATTTGTAAAAAAAATTATACGTAGGCCTATTTTGTCAACTGAGTTAAAAATTAATTTTGACTCTTTAAATTTTTTAAATTACATCATTTCTTTATTTTTTACATATTTCTTAAAATATCTCAAATGATATGTCAATGATATTTTTAAATTTTTTGAAAGTCATAAAAAAAAAAAAAAAAAAAAACTTATACAAATCACGTGGTCCTCGTACAATAAAATTCTGTATAAAAGTTGTCTTTAGTTAAAAGTTGATTATAATCAATTTTTTGTAAGAGAAGGAAGTAAGTTACAATCTCGGAAGTGGATTATAACCCACTTCCTAAAAGACTCAAAAATGTGTAATTTCCTTTGATTTCCGTTTCTTATCCTGAGAACCAAACAAGGCTTTGTTAGAAGCATAGGACGGGAAAACGGCGTCGTTTTTGAAATAGAACGACCACTAGCAAGGTTGTTTTTGACGAATTGCATGACGTTTTATCGATCCATAACTGACCAGGGTTTTGACCACCTCATTTCTCACGCGTCCTCTCTCTCTCTCTCTTTCTCTCAACTCTCTCTCTATACAGCCAAAGCTCAAAGGAGAAACCTTGTGAGACCAATCGACGATGAGCTCTCAGGTATGCAGATCTGCTTCCCGAGCTGCCAGGTCTCTACTCTCTGCTTCTAAGCAGACCTCTCATGTCTTTTCTGGTAATTCTCTCCCTCCCTCTCTCTCTCTCTCTCTCTCACACACACACACACACACACACATTTCAATCCCTTTCTTCATCCTTTTTGTGTAGTTTACGTGAACGGTTAATAAATTTCGCTTTAATGTTGAGAGTCCTTTTTAAATTCTGAATCATATATATATGGATTGATTGTTTATTAAATCTTACAGAGTTCATTTGATTCAGGTAAATTATTGATGTTCAACATCTGAAATTTGTTGCGCGAATCATCCTTTTGTTCTTCAATTTGTTCTTGTATATTTCACTATTTAACTGATTTTTTTTTTTTTGTAATCTAGATGTGTTATATACAAGTACATTTCATGATTGCATGTATATCAAATGCTGGTGTGTTTTGCATAGACAGCACAAGTGTATGCAATAATATGTGTGCAAATTGAATTAATTTTACTGAGTTTTCTGCAACTGTAGAAGGTCGAGCTGTGGCTAGTGCTGCGACAGTTTTATTAAGAGGAAAGGTGCCTTATTTAGCTTCATACGGGAGGACCGATTCTGGAAATACGTCCCGAGGATGGATATCTGGGGCGCTTGCCCTTCCTGCTGCAGGTTTGGACAGGAACTTCTATTTTCTGTAATTCTATGTGAATTTTTAATAAGATATACTTCTTGGCAGCCAACAAGGATGTGAGACTTAGGCCTCGTTTTGGAACAGACTAATTTAGTAATTTTTTGGCTATTTGACTAAAATGGTAGGTAAAAAAAATTTGTATGTGTGGGATGACTTTTTAGCTAATTACAAAAAGATGTGCAAAAAGTAGAGAGAAAAGAGAATTTTTGAATTTTTGGTATGAGTTGTTGACTTTTTGGCTAATTTAGTAATTTTTTGGCTAATTAGCTAAAAAAGTAAGTCCCCAAACGGGACCTTAATGTGTTTGGTTTCTGGATTCAATTTCCTAAAATCAAGTTTTTTGTGTTTTGTGTTTTTTTGTGTTTAGTGAATATTTTTAAAATTTTAAGTAATTTTTTTTTACTTTTTTAGATGCATCTTGCTTAGATATATTAAAAAGTAAAACATTTGTAAAAAAAATATTTTTAAAAATTAATAAATCTATACTATATATTAAGTAAAATGAGATTTTTAACCTCAAGCCATGTGGGAGCTCCAATCTCCCAATCTGATTTTTTTGATTTTTTGATTTTTTTTAAAAAAAAAAAAACCTTAGCATGTATTAACTTATCCCAACTCCCAAGTCTTACCCTCATAATAACACCTTAATGCATTAAGAACAAGCATAAAAAAATTCTTTAAAATTCCAAGACACAATAATGATTTCTTGAAAAGTCGCCAACACATATGAATAAATTAGCCCTCGTAATAACACTTTAAATGGGGCATTAAGAAAGCATAAAAAAATAATTCCTTCAAAAGTCTAACAATATGATTATTATCCAAAATATTAAACTTTAATATAATTAATAAAAAAAAGACATTTATTTTTTGAAAGTCTAACACATATGATTATTATCAAAATTATTAACTTTAATATAATATAAAAAAGGTAAAAAAAGAAGGCATTTAAAAAAAAAGACATTTTAAAATCATATTCACATATAAAAAAAAAAAAAAATGAAAAATTCCAAACACATATGATTATTATCAAAATATTAAACTTTAATATAATATAATAATAAAAAGATATTTAATTCCTTGAAAAGTCTAACACCATATGATTATTATCAAAATATAATTAATATAATTAATAAAAAGGAAAAAGAAGGCATTTAAAAAAAAAAAAGACATTTAAAAATCATAATTCACATATATAGATAATTGTAAACACAATCCGTGCATAGCACGAGTGATATGCTAGTACTATATATTAAGCAAAATGGGGTTTTTAAACCCCAAGGCCTGTGGGAGCTTCAATATCCCAATCTGAATTTTTTTAATTTTTTATTTAAAAAAAAACTCAGCATTTGTTAATTTGGTCAAAATTCTCTTATCAGTATTTATTAACTTTTTTCAATCCATGTCTTTCCGCATGCATGTATTTATTGATTTGGTCAAAAACTGCCGATCAGCATTTAAAATCACCTCATACAAATAATTATAGATACAATCCATATATAATTATTGCAGTACCCTTTTCAACTTCTCTCATACACTATGGTTAGTGATAAGATTGTTAAATTATTTTTATAAAAAGTCTTAAACATAATTTATATATTAAAAAAAATCTAAAACAAATCTAAATATCTAAAATTATCCCGTGCATAGCACGGGTGATAGGCTAGTACATAAGAATACGAAAAATATATTGAATTTTTGTATTTTTTTTTTTTTGTATTTTTGATATTTAGTGAATTTTTTAAAGATTTTTTTTTTCACAAATATTATACTTTTTTAAGTGTATTTATGTTATATGTATCTAAAAATTAAAATAATTATTTAGAACATTAAAAAAATTTAGTGAAAACAAAAAAAAGGCGAAAAATGAAAATTTTAATTTTTTGAGAAGTGAACCTGAAAATAGGAGCCAAGCAAGCTTGTTAACTATTTTCTACTTGATTTGCCTCAATTCCTGTTTCAGGAGATGTAAAGGGAACTGTTTTGTGATAAGAAGCTGAGGGTTTTTTTTTTCTCTCTCTCTCTCTCTACATTTACATGCTCAAATGGATAAATGGAATGGAGACAGATATATACCGTTTCAATGTTTTTAGTCTATACTTTCTCTGTATCGCGAGCTGTTTGATTTACTATTGTTGATTCAACAAGTTGTATGTGTGAGAGCAGTGGTGAGAAAAAAATTGCATTTTGCCAGTTGGGTTAGATGGAAGAGGAGTCTTGTCCCTTGTTAAAGATTCAACAAGATCTCTTTTCTACATCAATTACGCTATGCTTGAGCATTTTAATGGGTTGAAAACAATAGGATTGGGATCTTTCAAGTTTTGACCTCATTTATGCATCTCCCAACATTACATCTTGATCCTCAATTGTGAACATTTGTTGTATGCAACCATACTTCCTGCACTTGAAAACTTATTTAATCACCGAATCCTCATTTTTTATTTTTATTTTTGTTGTGTTTTTCTTTCTTTATACTGCAGCCTACATGCTTCAGGAGCAGGAGGTGCATGCTGCAGAGGTACTATAATTAGCAATTGATTCTATTTTCTTTCCCATTGTCAACATCCTTTTCCCATCATTTCCTTTTATCTATTTGGAGACATTTTATACACTTTTTCTTCATGATTCAGATGGAGCGCACTTTCATTGCTATCAAGCCAGATGGTGTTCAGAGAGGGCTGGTAAGATAACTACTGCACTTTCACATTTACGCTAGTGGCGTGTGATTTGGCAATTAGCATAAAATATGCATATTTTTTTTCAATTTTCCTCTGTTAGTTAATTTGGCTGCTCCCAATGTGATAGGTGGTCTGGATTCTGTTTGCTCAATTTTTCTTCTTTTACCTCTGGCCTTCCTAACCACGAACTATTTAGCAAAGTCCCTGAAAGAGATATCATTGGCTACAAATTAAATCCTTACCTGTTAGCAAAGAACAAAAAAAAAAAGGATCTTCCCTCCTTTCTGTTTCCCATTTTTTTCTATGAAATTTGGGAAATCTACATTGAGTTGCACCATTCAGCCCTAAATCCTGTTTGTGAATTCAATTTTCTTTCTCCTTTTCTTTTTTTGGTTTTTATTTTATTTGATCTGAGGCAGCTTCTTTGTGTTCCAGATTGCAGAAATCATATCGCGTTTTGAGCGAAAAGGTTTTAAGCTTGTGGCGATCAAAATAGTGGTTCCTTCAAAGGATTTTGCCCAAAAGCATTATCATGATCTCAAGGAAAGGCCTTTCTTTAATGGCCTGTGCGACTTCCTTAGTTCTGGCCCTGTCATTGCAATGGTTAGAAGAATATTGACTTCTATTTCCTTATGTGACAACTCGAGAGGCAGCTGAACGTTTGTTATCTTTTAAATTTTGCAGGTCTGGGAAGGTGAAGGAGTGATAAAATATGGCAGGAAGCTCATTGGAGCCACTGACCCACAGAAATCAGAACCTGGAACCATCAGAGGTGATCTAGCCGTTGTTGTTGGAAGGTATTTTTAAAAATCAGTGCTGTATTTGTTTTCATTGCTCTTACCAATGGGTCTTTCACTTCCAGAGTCACCTTCCTTTAGTCTTATGAAATCAAAAATCTAGGGATCATTTGGTAATGTCTATGTTTAAAGTTGTTTTTGTTTATGTTTACAAAAATTTTGAAAACGGTGAAGAAAAACTTATTTGGTGTCTATTTTTATTTTCAAGAACTTCTAAATAATTTATGGAATTCTTGTAATCGCAAAAAAAGTTGTGTGTTGTGATATTGTTTGATTGCAATCTGATGCTGTTTTGCGTTGTAGAAATATCATCCATGGAAGTGATGGCCCCGAGACAGCCCAGGATGAAATCAAGCTGTGGTTCAAACCCGAAGAGTTGGTTAGTTATATGATCAGTGGAGAGAAGTGGATCTACGGAGATAACTAATGAAGATTTTAGTTCTTTTTCCCTCGGCAACTTAGGTCCCGCATGAAGAGTGGGGTAGAATCATAATTGTCAGAATAAAGTTATTTTTCTTTAGGTGACTAGTAACATTGCTTCAATGCAAGCTGCTAGCGAAATAGATCACCATAATAATGGGATTTACTTCTTTTATCTATGATTCCAAATAATGCAATTTTCCAGATTATATATGTATTTGTTTTTTTTATTCCAAGTTATGTGGTAAAGATATTATTTTCCTATCATTTTAGAGTTTGTCCATGAAAGCGTGTAGATGGATCTCAGTGCAACTACATTGGGCAAAAAGGGATGGTAACAGATTGGGTTTTTTGAGTTTTTTGTGTGGATTTTTACTTTTAAACTCAATTATTTTAATGATATAATTTCAGATTTTATTATAAACTTGATAAATTTGACCTATCTATCACTATACTTTACCCAATGAATGTTCTCTCAAACCATTTATATTCGAATTGGATTGAAACAAATACAATTGGATGGTGAATTTTGACATCCCTCCCATTGAATTGCTTTACATGAACTTCCCACTTAATGCGCAAAAAAAAAAATAAAAATAAAAAAATAAAAAAATAAAAAAAAAAAGAAAAGAAGAGAGAATAGCATGCTTTGCGAGTCTCACAATGCAAAAGCAATTGATTTACTTATTATTTTTGCCTTTTGATAAGGTAAGGGATCCAATGGAGGATGAGTCGGGTAGATCGACGCTTCTAACAACTTTACTGGTCTCGGAGTTCACTGGAGGTGCCTGTAAAAAAGGTCCGGCGGGGAATGGGAGTCCCCGAGCAAACCCTCCGACGATCAAATTAGAATAAAAGAGATTGACTGTATCCAGAGAGAGGGGGAAGATAATGAAGAACTTAACCTTCGATGTGTCTTGGAAACTTCCTTATATCCTTTGTTCATCATTTCCTTATCCATTCCGACCTGCCGTGTTGGCCGAAACTCTATACTCTAGCTTGCATTGTTCACAGTAAGGTTGTCTGTTCCAACGTGAAAGGGTTGTCGCATTTAATACTGTGAGAGCCTCATTAATAGTTGATGTGTGATGCAATAACTTTGCAGGATCTTTGTCTGCTTATGTGTCTAGGCCCCGGTTTGGCAAGTGTTCAAACGTTATTGGTCCTGGTCTAGTATTAATTTCTCAGAGCTATTGGGCTTTGATAACTAGGGAGTGGACTGGCCCCTGTTCCGTGGATTGGGCCCTCTTGGGTGTCCATCGGTGTCAGGAGTTTTCCATTCTCGAGTGCAGCTTTAGTCCAACGAAGGGAATAAGTAAGAAGCCAATCGCGAGGATGGGGGCCGAGCGGGGTGACCGATCATGAGGAGGGCTGGCCGCAAAAGGGGCCAAGCGGAGAGGTCGATCGTGAGGAGGGCCGACCGCGAAGGAGGGTCAAGCGAGAAGGCCAATCGTGAGGAGGGCCAACTGCGAAGGAGGACCGAACGGGAAGGCCGATCGTGAGGAGGGCCGACCGCAAAGGAGAAGCCGAGCAGGAAGGCCGATCGTGAGGAGGGCCGATCGCAAAGGAGAAGCCGAGCAGGAAGGCCGATCGTGAGGAGGGCCGATCGCAAAGGGAGAGTGACGGCGCACGAGGCTCAAGGAGTGACGAAGCACATGATGATGCGAAGTGGAAAAGACAGGGGGAGGTAAAGGGGAGGTACAGGTTGATGGGCGAATCGTGGCCGTACACGTAGAGGAAGCGGGGGAGGCGGTGGGGGATGTGATGCGTTGATAGGAAGTGAAAGGGTAAGATGGGATGTGGAAAAGGCGGGGGTTTTTTGTGGAGAAATTTTCAAACTAGCGAAATTTAACCACGATCCTTGGGAGATAAGTAAACCTTGGGCCTTTGGAGTAATAAGCTTTACTTACCTGATCAGAAAGAATCATCAAATTCCAGACTTACAGGCCTTCATCGCAGTGGACTCTCCCCTTTTGCGAATCGCAGAATTCCTAGAGCCTACAACCGAAGCGATTTGGAGAAACGTGGCGCGAATGGCCCAAGACAAAGTAGCAGCTGTGGGGTTAGAATCGTTAGGAGAGGATGACGCAGTAGAGTTGGCAGAGCAATATAGGGCAGGGAGGGGGTTGGTGAACGGATGGCGGGTGACACGTTCATGACGATGATGTCGGCAGTCCAGCCCATTAGCCAAGTGGCGCCCGACCATTGGCATACGAAGGCGGACAAATCAGTGTTAACGGCAGAAAATCTGGAGGAGATTCGAAGTAGGTACCAGATTCCGGAAGAAATGGAGTTGAGAGTGCCGACAGCGAAAGAGAGAGCGTCGGATGCTCGGCCGATGGAGTTCACCTTGTATGAAGAGGCGTTGCACGGGGATCTAAGGTTGCCCCTCCTTTAATTAGTTGTGGACGTGCTCAATCGTCTAGAGTTGGCCCCGGGGCAATTGATGCTGAATGCGTGGAAGATAATATTCGTCTGCGTGATCGCGTGGCCGCGGGCAACTAGAGGAGAGGCAATGACTGTGGATGAATTTTTATCATGCTATAAAGCCTCAGGGCAACAGGAAACCTGGGTGACGATCCAGGTGGTGGCGGGGAGAGAGTTGGTGGCAGGGTTGCCCTCATCAGTGAAGGGGTGGAGGCCGAGATGGTTTTATGTGTCGACGAACACTGGTAGGAGGGTGCGCCTAACTTGGAAGGTGCTCATGAAGTCGTTGGAGCCGAAGTTGGGGGTGGTGGCGGAGACTAGGGTGAAACAGGTGAAGGAGTGGAAGGAAAATGAAGGACTGAAATGAGACGATCTCGTCCAACCGTTGGCCCTCTTTGTCTTGAGCCTAGGGCCCAAACCAAAGGAAGGAGACCTTGCGCCGGAAGAGGTAGAGAGGAGGAGGAAGGCGCAAGAGGCGGAGGATAAGCGTGTGTTCGCGAAGGCCAAAAGGTACAAGGCGCAGCAACTAGGCCTAGCGCCAAAGTTGGCCGTGAAGAGGCCGGTCCGACCACGACCAAAGCCCTTGGGCGAGAAGGATTTAACCAATTTCATGCCTTTGTGAGCACTAGTGGACCCGTTGAAAGAGAGAAGTGATAAAGAAGTGGAGCTGGTAGTAAAGAAGAAGAGGAGGAGAATGATCCCAAAGGGCGGGGAAGAAGATGTCATAGGAAAAAAAGTGAAAAAGTAAGTGAAGGAGGAGCCCCCAAAAGTGGGGGGAGAAGATAGCAGGGTTAGGGGGGGAGTAGTAGAGGAGGAGAGAAGAGTGATAAGGGGTGATCTGGCGACAGATTGGCCCCCTAAGGATGTGCCTTGCGAAGAAGTGCCGCCAAGACAGGAGGTGGATGTAGGGTGGTTGGGCGGAGTAGAGAGGAGTATCGCGTTGAATACCGCCATGCACCATGTGCTCGCAGTGGTTGGAGGCCTAGGAGGGAATAGGTGTGAGGCGAAGGTGGCCGCAGACCGCCTATTGGGAGTTGTGGAGGATGCGGCGGTACGAAGTGTGGCGCAAGTCACAGAGGTCGACCTCTTCAAACGTAGACTTCCATGTTCCGACCTATCTGGTGTTGGAAAACGGCATTAACCAAGCATTGGTAAGTGGCCCCAGCATTCTTCAAACCGAACGACATCGACCTATCTGGTGTTGGAAAACGGCATTAACCAGGCGTTGGTAAGTGGCCCCAGCATTCTTCAAACCGAACGACATGACTCGGTAATAATAAGTCCCCCTATCGGTGATGAAAGAGGTGTGCTTCCGGTCGGCTGCATGTATTAAGATCTGATTATAGCCGGAGAAAGCATCTATGAAGCTGAGCATCTAATGTCCCGCAGTTGCGTCAACCAACAGATCTATCCTAGGAAGGGGGTAGCTGTCCTTGGGGCAAGCTCGGTTAAAGTCGGAATAGTCGACGTAGAGTTGCCATTTACCGTTGTTTTTGCGGACCAAGACCACTTTGGACGACCATCTGGGATAGTCCACATTTTCTGATGAACTGTGCTTGTAGTAGCTTGTCTACCTCAGCAGCGATGAGGTTGTTACGTTCCAAATGAAAAATGCCGTGCTTTTGGTAAAATTGTCGGAATTGGGGATCGATGCTGAGGCAGTGAGTAATAAAATTGGGGTTGATACCTGGCATATCTGAATGAGTCCAAGCGAAAACATCATTGTGTTCGATTAGGAGAGCCGTGAGATCGGCCTTAGCCTGAGAAGATTGGTTGCCGATCTTAGCCATTTTTGTTGGATCCGTAGGATCAACAGGTACTTCAACAAGTTCCTCCATTGGTTCTCCTCTGACTAATTCATCATCGTCTCGGACATCTAGGCCTTCGATGATCATGGCTTCTTTCATTTTGACTTCCTTCAGTGAGGCGACATAGCATTCTCGGGCTATGGTCTGCTCTCCTCTCACGGTGTCGACCCCCTAGTCAGTAGAAAATTTCATGGCTAGATGGTACGTGGAGGTGACGGCTTGAAAAGTATTAAGGGCAGTACGTCCTAATATGATGTTGTAAACAGAAGGACAATCGACGACAATGAAAGTGAACAATTTAGTGGACTGCCCAGATATTCTCTGATGGTGATGAGGAGATCGATAGAGCCTATAGATGTGACCTGATTGCCAGTGAAGCCCACCAGGGGGTTTGTAGAGGTGACAACTTTTCGTCCTCGATTTTTAGTTGGCGGAAGGCATTAAGGAAGATTATATCTGAGGAGCTGTCGTTGTCGACCAGAACTTGCCTGACTTTGTAGTTTGAGAGGAGAGCAGAGATGACCAGGGGGTCGTCATGAAGGTAGCGAACGCTGATGCAGTCTGTCGCTGTAAAGGTAATCGGCTCGGTCCATTGCTTGGATTGCTTATAGGGTCGGTCCACCGTGGCCACTTCCCTATCAGAGCCTTGTCGAATTTTTCAAAGCTCAGCTCGCTGTGCCAACTGGGATGATCCGCCGCACGCGAGGCCGCTGGCAATGACCCTCATTTCGCCTAGCAGAGCGGGAGGATCACAGTGAGCTCTCGGGTGATTGCGAGGTCGGTCATTGTGCCGCTTAGGTGGTGTTGGTCATCGGGAGGAAGTGTGTTGGCAGTTATGATTTGAAGGGCCAGTTCTGGGCCGTTGCGGGGGACGGGCTGTGGTGAATTGACTGAGTCGTCCTTGACGAACTAGATCCTCAACCTGGTCTTTGAGGTTGACACATTCGTCAGTGTTGTGACCATGGTCTTGGTGGAAAATAGCAGTATTTGGATTGGTCCCATCGGGTGGATGGAGATCTGAAAGGTTGAGGCCATTTCAAGTTATAGTCTCGTTGAATTTGGTTCAGGACTTGCTCCATGGGTGAGTTGAGGGGGGTGTATTGCTAGAATTGACCAAGTGGGCGGGTAGGTGGCAGTCTGTTTGAGCGTGCAGGCCAATCGGAGTGTGATGGGGGTCAGTATGGGTATTACGGGGGATGTGACTCAAGCTCTTTTTTTTTGTCCTTGGAGGGTGGGAGTTTAAATGTGGAGTCTTGACGAGCTGCCAAGAAGTCTTCGACATTCATGTATTTTTGGGCTTTGGTAAGAAGGGAGGCCATGGTGGTCGGGAGATTTTTGGAAAGGGAGAAAAGGAAATCAGATAGGTGTAAATCGGCCATGAAGGCGGTGAGGATGACTTTGTCATCATTCTCCTCCACTTGTAGGGCTTCGGTGTTGAAGCGGGTGACATAGCTGCGTAGCGACTCTTCCGCGGTCTGCCGAATGTTTAGTAGTTGGGTGACTGGGTGTCGTTGTCGCAGAGTACTGATAAAATGGCTTAAGAATGATTCGCTGAGCTGGCGAAATGAAGTAACTGAATTCGGAGGGAGCTGACTAAACCAAAGGCGCGCCGACCCTTTTAACGTGACGGAGAAGGTGCAACACATGATTTCGTTCGGAAAGGCGTGTAAGATCATAAGTGTCTGATACGCTTCCATGTGGTCGACATGATCAGTAATACCATCGAAGGTGTTGATCGATGACATCTTGAACTTGGAGGGATGAGCTTTATCCCGGATAGAGGTGGCAAAAGGAGAATTGACAATGGAGGACGGCTTATGCTGTATGTTCTGTATGACCCCCTGTAGTTGGAGTTTCATGGCCTGTATTTCTTCATCCCAAACGGGGACATTATCCCCACAGACAGGGATTAGGGGTTGAACACTGCTAACCTCACCTTTATGTACAGCCTCATGGTGTGATAAGGGGTGATTATGAAAAAGTGGTGGCATGTCTTGACAAGGTTGCGAGCCTGACAGAGGGGGGTGCAGACCGTCAAGATTCAATGGTTGAGGCCGCGAGACGAAGGGTGGAAATGTTCCTTGAGGTACGTATGGTGGGAATTGACGGTGGAGGTGGGCCTGTTCTGGGTGTGGGGGAATTATCGATTGTGATGCGGGCGGTACGGGTAGGTCACGCTAGAGTAAAGCATTGTTCAAGGCTTGGTTCTGAACGGTCAGCCGGTTGATGCTGTTGGTGAGTTTTGTGAAATATGGAGGTGGGTTATTTGGGTTAAAGGGCTCAACTTCGGGGTTATCGGCGTTGTGTTGGGAAGTCATGGATCTAGTCGTGACCATCCGTTTTGATGCCGAGGGTGGGTGGCTACGGGGTTCCTTCCGACGACAATGAACACAACTGTCTTTCCGAAATGGATATTCCTACAGATGGCGCCAACTAATGAGATAAGGGATCCAGCGGAGGACGAGTCGGGTAGATCCATACTTCTAACAACTTTACTGGTCTCAGAGCTCGCTGGCGGTGCCTGCAAAAAAGGTTCGGCGGGAATAGGAGTCCCCCAGCAGACCCTTCGACGATCAAGTTAGAATAGAAGAGATTAACTGTATCCACAGAGAGAGAGAGAGAATGGAAGATAATGAAGAACCTAACCGTCGATGTGTCTTGGAAACTTCCTTATATCCTTTGTTCATCATTTCCTTATCTATTCCGCTATGTTGTGTTGGCCAAAAGTCTATACTTTAGCTTGCATTGTTCACGGTGAGGCTGTCTGTTTCGACGTGATGGGGTTGTCGCATTTAATGCTGTGAGAGCCACATTAATGGCTGATGTGTAGTGCAATAACTTTGCATGATCTTTGTCTGCTTATGTGTCTAGGCCCTTGTTTGGCAAGTGCTTGAACATTATTGGTCCTAGTCTAGTATTAATTTCTCAGAGCTATTGGGCTTTGATAATCGGGGGGTGGACTGGCCCCTATTCCGTGGGTTGGGCTCTCCTAGATGCCCATCGGTGTCACCTTTCTAATCAAACGAACACCTACGAACACCTATTATAAAAAAAGAACCCTTATTCTTAAGCTAACTTAATCGATAGTTTTGTTTAGAAGAAAAATAGGTGTGGGGGTTTGGCAAAATATTTTGTTAGCAATTATTTTTCATACACCCACCTGTCCTAATGAAAACGATGAGAGCATGGTATACCACAAATTTGACTCTGTAGTGTCTTATTGTCATTTAATTTTTTGTTAACGGACTTTTCTTAAAATTTGTTACATTTAAAAAATTTTAAGTTGTCATGTAAAAACGATATGAAGTAAAAGAATTGGGAAAAAATTCTAGGCCTCTTTTGAGAAGTTTGTTAAAAGTTATTTCTCAATTTTTAATCCATTTTAGGTCATATCATCTCTCACATTTTTTACATGTTTTTTTAAAAAAAGTTAAAAAAAATCGAAAATCCTAACTTTTAACCATCTTTTCAAAACACTCCATAAGTTGCCAATTGGAGTAGAGTAGCACAAAATGTGACACCCTAATTGTTTAATTAATTTAATAAAAAAATAAAAATAAAATAAAATATTTGATTTTATAATTATACTCGCTAAAATGTAATCTAACTTAAAATTAAGAGGCATAGTTTACCAAAGGGAATGGCGTCTCTCCAGTCCGTAATTGGATTAGAGGGCACTGTTGAGCCTGTGGGATTCACCACAGGTTCCGTTTTGATAATTCGAACCATTAATGTGTAGAACTCGTTGAGTTTTAGATGGCTATCAAAAATCACGTTAGTCGGATATTGATAGATATGTGATCAAATCAGTTTTATGAAAAAAATGGGCAGTGAAAAATAAACGGCATACAAAAATCTGATTTGATCACATAATTATCAATATCCGATCAACGTGTTTTTTTACAGACATATAATACTCGACGAGTTTTACACATTGAACGGTTTAAATTATCAAAATGAGACCAGTGGTAGGCTTCCATGGGTTCAACAGTACCCTCTAGTCTAATCACGGACTGGAGTAAAGCCATTCCCTTTATGAAAATAGGATTAATATATTGTTTTTGGGCTAAATCAAAACAACTATGAAATTTTATGTGCTAAAATATAATTAGGTGATCATTGTGACCTATCAAAAAGATGGTATATGTTATAATTATTTTAGGAGTTGGGCCCAAATGTAATTACTCAACAAAGAAATTATAGGTGACATTCCAAATGTTCAATTAATCTTACACTATGTTAATATTAAATTCTGGAAGCATGCGATTTAAGGAATTAGATGTTATTAAATTTTGGAATATTAAAAATTGAGAATTTTGAGGACAACATTTTTTGTAAAATTGCGTATTTTTATAAATAAAAATAATATATTTTTTTGAATTTTTTATATAATTATTCACATTATTTTAAATTTAATAGTTTGTATATTTTTATACTGAATATTATTTTGAAAATAATAATTTTTATTTTATATTATTATTTGATATTATTTTTTGAATATTATAATATTTTTATATTTTTTCTAGATCAAAATTTGGTTTGTGTTTCTCAAAAAATTTTGAGAAAAATTCTCTACAAATAAGTTTTCAAAAGTAATCAAACCAAACAAATTTTTCCAAAATTTTTTTCTAAAACTTGTTTGGTTTACAAGTTTTCCAAACAAATCTCTCTCTCATGCACATCAAATCAGTCACTTTTTCTAAAACTCTCTCTCAAAATAATTTTTCAAAACATCTTTTAAAAAAAACTAAACCAAACAAATTTTCATACTTTTTATCTCAAAACATATTTCTCAAATACAAACTAAACAAACCCAACATTTCCTATACAACAAAGATGTGTGCCCTCCAATTCTCTTGCTGCCCACGCCTCCCCCCACCCAAAATATATAAAGATGTTATCTTGTGCATCAACATCATGTCCCAAACTCTTTTCTTCTCTCTCTTTCGACATTTCTCTCTCTAACTGTTTTATAAAACTTTCAATTTAGGCCTCGTTTGGCAAGAGGCTATTTTAGCCAATTAGCTAAAAAGTTACTAAATTAACCAAAAAGCCAACAACCCATACCAAAAAGTCAAAGATTCTCTTTTCTCTCTACTTTTTGCACATCTTTTCGTAATTAGCCAAAAAGTCATCCCAAACATACAAGGTTTTTTTACCTACCTTTTTAGTGGGTCACAATAAACGAAAAATAAAAAGTTAAAATTAATATTAAGGTGAGTTATATTATACTTTAAGTTATCATAAAATATTTTACGTATATCTTAAGTTATCACAATTTATTTTATGCAAATCATATTTTATATATTATATTAATATTTCAATTACGTTAATTAATTTATGAACTTTATTTTGTTAAATTGAAACTCATAAATATAATTGTTTAAATGGCGAATTACACTAACAGTTCCTATAGTTTAAGCCTCGTGTCACTTGGTCTCTGACTTTTCAATTGTGACACATTTGACCATGAATTTTGAATCTTGTTCCAAATAAGGACAATTGAAAATATTATTGCTTAATTTTAAGGGCAAAATCATCAATTTGATAAAATATAAACTAATTTGATAAAAATAAATGCCAAAAAATTATTTTTGAATTTTTAAAAATTATTTCTACACACAAACGATAAAAATTATGTAAAATTAATAAATCTTTTAGACATTTATTTATTTTACCAAATTAATTTTTATTATGTGTTTGGATGATGATTATGTAATTGGTGGTTGTTAAAATATTAACGTGTAATCGGTATATTTAATATATGAAATATTTTTAATTTTGAATTTTTTTGATTTAATGGATTGATTTAATAATGATATCAAAGTTGTCGTTATATTTGACTTTTAAAAAAATATAAACTAATTTAATGAAAATAAAAACAATCACATATTACATGATCATCATCAAAACACATAATAAAATTAATTTGGTAAAATAAATAAATAAATGTCTAAAAGATATATCAATTTTATACAATTTTATCTTTAGTGTGTAGAAATAATTTGTAAAAATTTAAAAATATTTTTTTAACATTTATTTTTATCAAATTAGTTTATATTTTATCAAATTAAGCAATGGTATCTTCAATTGTCCTTATTTGGAATAAGATTCAAAATTTATGGTCAAATGTGTCACAATTGAAAAGTTAGAGACCAAAGTGACACAAGTCTCAAACTACATGGACCGTTAATGTAATTTGCTCTTGTTTAAATTTTAGAAATTATTTGACAATAATTTTTATAAATATTTATTTCTATAAGTACCACTACAGAAGTCTTATGTCTTGGGAAATTTAAATAATCATTGGCCTCTGAAAGGTCATTTTTGTAGCCCTCTGTTTGTCATTGATCCATTGAACTCTGTTCTGATTATCACTCCAGTGATCTCTATTCTGTTCTGTACTATGATTATGATTATTTGCTTATATGATTTTCACATTTTGCTCATGTCATTTAAAATTAGTTATATATTTCAGTTACCAAACTAATTTTTGTTTAACCAAATAATTATTCATGGTAATTTTTGTATTATCATGCTCATTGTATAATATTTCTCACTCTGTCATGTGCTTATGATGTTAACCACTTTTGGATGACGTGTGAGGACTAGTGCATGGGATATGGGGTAGGCACAAAGCACTTTGTAATCATAATACAACTCCTGTAGTGCAATTGAATAAAAGTTCTAATGTATACGTTTTTGTTATATTTAAATAAAGATTTGAATATTCTTTTATTTTATTCTGCTGCACTGTTAATTTATTATGATTTCAATTATTGTTTTGTTATGATACGGTATCTGTAAATACTAGTTTGGATCATGACAAAAATAACATGTGATAGAGCACGTGACATATGACAGCCAATATATGACGTGATTATTTTTGTATTTACCCATTAAAATTACAGATAATTCTTAACCATGCTTAATGATAAGAAATATACCAGGCTTAATGATAAGAAATAAAGATCCTATAGGATCGTATTATCCGAATACCAGATATTACAGCTTTGCTAGCTAAACACCAGTGAAATTCAAATTGAGGTTTTGTTTGGAATGTTGATTGATGTTTTATCTTTTTGATTTTTTTTTTTGACTATTTTACCTTGATGCTAGAAAGTATTGTTTGGAATAAGTTTTTTAATTTTTGTGAGAAAAAAAAAATAAAATAAGACTAGTGTTATACGCATCAATTAGTGTATTAACTAGTGTACCAATTAATAATGTGGTATAATTTAAAATATTTTTGGTATTTATAATTTGTAGAATGAGTGAGGTCAATAATAATGTCATAACTAGTGTACTAATACTAGTTAGCTTCCGTTTGGGAAGTGGGTTGGCTTTTTGGCTTTTTGGCTTTTTTGGCTATTTTAGCCTAGGCTAAAAAGCTTGGTTTGGGAAGGGCTTTTTGGCTTTTTTGACTTTTTTTGTGAGAGAAGAGTGTAATAATTATGGGTTGAATGTGATGTTTTGTTTGTTGTGGCTAAAATAATCTGTTTTGTTTTTTGTGGCTATTTTAACCCCAACCTTCCTTGCCAAACGGACCCTTAGTACACTAATTGATACATATAATATCTAGGGATGACAATTTGAACCCGGCCCGACGGGGACCCAACCTCCCGACCCCGAATTGAATGATTTTAGTGTTATTATGTATAGAATTATTCTTCTTTGAATGTTAGTACTTAAAAAATAAATAAAAAATTAGTGATATTATATACATTAATTAGTGTACCAATATTAGTTATGACATTATTATTAACCCCACTCATTATACAAATTACAAATACTAAAAACTTCTTAAATCATGTCACATTATCAATTGATACATTAGTTAGTACACTAATTGATACATATAATATCTAGGGATGGCAATTTGAACCCGGCCCGACGGGGACCCAACCTCCCGACACCGAATTGAATGATTTTTTCCTGAAAAATACTCCCGACGGGCCGGAGATGGTATTTAAAAATAAATCCCCGATGATATTCGGGCCGGGGACGGGGATACATTTTCCAACCCCGGACCTGGCCCGGCCCGGCCCCGACCCCGCCCCGTTCAGCCCCGGACCTTGTTTATTTATATATAAGTATATGTGTGTGTGTTGTGTGTTCATATACATCTGGCCTTTCTCTCTATCTCACACACACACACAACCGCAACTCCCTCACCGCCGGCTCCTTCTCTCGTTCTCACCGGCGACTCCTTATCTCCCTCTCAAGGTATTTCCGTCTCATTCTCTCTCACAGATCTCCTTCTCTCTCTCCCTCTCTTATTTTTTGCTTTTGTTCTTTAGATCTGTTGGTGATGAAGATCGTTTTCTGGAGCTAATTTTATTTATTTATTTATTTTTGATGTTGTTGATGTTGGTGAAGATCTGTTGGTGTTGAAGATCTGTGTGTGTTGTGATTTTTTTTTTTTTTTCTTTCTGGAGCTAATTTTTTTGAAGATCTGTTGGTGATGTTGTATTTGAGCTCAAATAGCTTGTTTTCTGTTGATTTTTTTTGGCTGGGGATTTTCGGAGTCGGGAAAACCCAATCCCTGTTAAGGGCGGGAGTGGGGGCGATAGTGGGTTCCCCGTTAGGGATCGGGGCTGGGGGAAGTTTTGCGATCGGGGGACGAAAAAGGTGATCCCCAGACCCGCCCTATTCCTTTGCCATTCCTAATAATATCATTTATAAAATAATTATAATTTAAATATGATATTTTATTTTATTAAGTATAAAAATATATTTTATATTTTTATAATTATTTTAACCATAACTTATCTCAACGCATCGTGCCAAACCAGTGCTAAAGCCACATGGCACCTTCTTTTGAATTGTAGATGACGTGGCGCTGCTTTGTTGACAGACCAGTCTAACTAGCTGTCCAGCAAAGTCGCAGATTAAGAGATTGTTTGAGGTGATATAAATAAATGTAATTTTTGTCTTTTATAGATTATAGGCTGGATTTAGATTAAGTTTGAAATGATGTGTTAGAGAGGTAATGTGACTTCAATAAGATCATATAATTTAAGGGGTTGTTTGGAATGATATAAATAAGTGTACTTTTTGTCTTTTTACGAAAAGATATTCAGAAAAGTAAAGAGGTGATGTGATAGAAAAAAATAAAAATAAAAAAGATGAATTATTTTAAGAATGACAAACTTGACCTAAATATGATAGTGTCTTTTTAATTTTTTTAAAACTCGTCCAAACAGTCTTAAAATTTTCATTGCTAGAGGCGGACTTGAAACGCAATTAAAAACGACTTACAATGTAATTGGTTGGTTGGGAATTGAAGTCCGTCGTCAATCATAAGGTCCTCCTCTATATATACGTGCTTCCTCATCTTTCTTTCACATGTTTTGTTGACCCTTGTTCAGGCATCGATCGACTCTCGTTTTGTGGACTTTTCGAAATCGTCCTCTTAGTCTTCCCAAACTCGAAACCCTAACCCTAATTTCTTAAGAAATCTTTCTCTATCCATCTCTATTTCTACTCTCAACTTCATCAATCTCTTGTTTCTGCAAAACGGTAACAATCTCTCTCTCTCTCTCTCTCTCTCTCTCTCTGTGTGTGCGCGTGTATAGTCTAGGAGAATGTGTTTTTTGTTTTGTTTTGTTTTGTTTTGTGAAACTTGTTTGATTCTTGATTATTGAGAGGGCGTGTATATGCGGTGGCTGTTGGTTTCTGAACTTAGTTCTATGCTTATTCTTCGTTTGGTTGCTGAGAAAATTGAGGATGAACCGAGAAAATTAGAAGTTTGAATCTTTTTATGTTTTTATTTTGGTTTCTGTAAAGATTGGAAACTTACTTTTAGTAAATTAAGTAGAGGTACAAGGCGCATATTTTGGTTCTATTGGCGTGTGGTTTTTTGAAATCTTGATAAACAAATACCTCTTTCTGTAATCTAGGCTATCTTGAAATTGAAATAATTTTGTGGCATGTATGAATGTTTTGATGCCTGATTCTTGGGATCTATGTTATCTTGAAATTTAAATACTTTTGTGGCATGTATGAATGTTTTGATGCCTGATTCTTGGATTTTCAAGGATTCAATGAGAAGGAACTAAGGAAGTACTAAAACTTTGAATCTTGTACTCCTTTTGTCCATTTTCATGGATTACTATGCTTTGTTTGGTTCTCATGATTGCACAAAGATGAAAAGAAGATATTTGAAAATGCTGCTTTCTTTTCAAAGCTTTTTCATCAATCTTACTTTCCTTCATTCTTCACTTTGGAGTCATATTTTTCTCCCCCTTTACATATGAGTTTTATGATAATGCATATTTGATTGAGTTTATCTCAACGAGAAGAGAAAAAGGCATTTCATACTTATTTTGTTTATTACTTAAAACCTAGTTTTGTTTATGAAATGCCCATGTGTATGTTATTAATGGAACAAGTGTCATTTATTCATTTATATTGTATAGAAAGTAAAATATGTAGTTTTTACTATCTGATTTTTTTACCTGATTATTCCATGTCCTCTTTTAGATGGCAGCTAAACCACTAACAAGCGAGACAATAGCTCTCACTGAGAAGAAAATGGACATGACATTAGGTGTGCAACAAGTCCCACATTTTTTGTTTGTTTTGTGTTTGATATTATATATGTCGTATTGATTACTACAACTTGTGTGTGGTATTATACTTTATCCAGATGATATCATCAAAATGTCCAAAAGTAATACAACTAAAGCTAACAAGCCAAGAGTTTCGGTAAGCAGTTCCCCCTTGGAATTACTACCTATCTGGTTCTTGATTGTGCTTTACTAGCATTTATGGTATCAATGATTGTCCTTATTTTAATCCTCAACAGAATAGAAACCAAAAATTTGTGAACAGTGCTGCCCAAGAGAAGTCCACAAAGGTTCGGAGGTTTATGGACTCAAGATCCTCTCTCAGACAGGTATGCTGCTAAACTGCACAGTTATATGTTAAATTATTTTCCTTACAGATGTGGATATGGAATTGTGTGGGGCAAATTTGTAATGGCTTTGGTTTCATTCAGTAGATTTATGACCTTTGGGAAAACATCGAAACAGGGCCTATTTTACTAGGTATATTTAGACAATTGGGGCTTTTGGCAACAAGTAGTTGTTTTTTTGGTGGGCCTTAGGCAATCAGCTAAGTGGCCTTTGGTATCATTTTGCTTTAGTATGTTAATTTCTCTTTTGCATGTAGGGGGTTCTTGCACAAAGAAGGTCTAATTTTCAGGGAAACCAATTTCCTTTAGCAACTGAGGCTGCACGAAAGGCTGCAGTTGCTCCTTTCCGCAACAGAGCCTTTAACCGAAGCAGGGGATTTAATGTAAATAAACTGAGGTAATGATAGTGTATTTTTTTTTTTTTTTTTTTTTAAAATTTTTGTTGTGATGAAAACATGAATGGTAACACTGTTAGAATAATTATTGGATGTCTGTGATGAACTGATGATGATGATGACGACTATGATGATGTTTAGCATTGTTGTGGATATTTTGCAGGTAAATTGTGGCTCTACTCTATTGTTGATGACTTTGCAATGTGCTTCTGGATGATGATGTTTAGCATTGTTGTGGATATTTTGCAGGTAAATTGTGGCTCTACTCTATTGTTGATGACTTTGCAATGTGCTTCTGGTTTAATAGTATTAAGTTCTATACTATTGGTGGAACTATTGTAATTGGTTGGGTGTGAGTGGAAAGCTTCCAACCTTGAAGTTTTCCGTTGATTACTGTTCACACCTTGCCATCCAAAAAAAGGATGCTTGCTTTTTTAAGCTTGATATTTGTGTTGTATGTGGTTGGGTGATTAAGTTGAGCAGTGCATATAGCATTTGAATTTGGCTGGGCTACATCTTGAATTGGAGCTGTATTGTTTTCATTGGTTGTTGAGGCAAAAGAGAATGTGTGGGAGCAAGGGTTTGAATTTAAGGTGGTGGGTAACTAAGCATGTGTGAGTTTTGTCTGCTGGAGTCAACATAACTTGTGATGGCTACATTGTGCATTTAAGTGGCTATCTGCATGATATGATAAGTACTTTCCTGTTTTGCTGTTGTTTACTGGATAGTGGTCCAGTGATGGTTATTCATGGCTAGCTTTGTGCATACCTTATATAAGTTTCCTGGTTTGAAAATATTGTTTCATTGGATGATTTATACTCAAGGAAGCACATTTCTTTCCACTTGGTGAGGTCTTTGCCTTTTTTCTTGTGACATTAAGTCATCTATACATGGCATGCTATAAGTCTGGTTGTTCTATTCACTTTGCTATAAACTTTATTCTGAGAGCCCAATCTGGCATTCAAACTTCAATTGATGGATTTTGGCTTTATGTTCTAACTGGGAAGTCATTGATGTTGAAAATAAGACGCTTCATCTTTTGTTGTGTTAGTTATATTCAGTGCTTCTGTTGGAACTTGCCCAGCCCTTTCTAAATCAGCAACCACTTATCAATATTTCCTTGCTGTTTAAAGTTTCTGTTTTGTGACACATCGATAATTGGTCTTCATCTGCTTTAAACTGCCTTCATATTGAATTGGCACAATATTGTTGGTTTTTGAAGTGGACTCTTCTGACGTACTGAACATGAGTTCAAGCCCTTCAGGTTGTTCTTGAGATGATTAAGGGGAAAACTTTGCGGTCAGATGGAAGTCAAAACTAATAGACGTATGGTGTTGCACATATCATTTAATTTACAGAATGTTTAGTGGTCGGCATCTGCAGCTGTGGTGTCTTGTGATTTACCTACCAGTGACTTAAACATGGTTGGAAGATTTTACATTATAGCCTGGCAAAGGTATCATGGCTTCTGTGGGTGAAGTTTTGACTTGTGCTTGATGGCTAGTTAGGAAGTTGTCCAGGACTGGATCTCCTGTATGTTGGACTGCTGGGCGGAAAGTAACCTTATGGTTTTTGGCAGTTATGTGGTTCCATTGAGGCCTATTCTCCAGGTTATAGTTCCAGTGGAAACATTTTGATGTGACTAACTTCTGATGAAATGTTCAATTAGAGGGAGCAGAATTAAAAAACTTTCTGAAGACGTCAATTTTCACTTCAGGTCATCAAATTATCTCTGTTAGTTGGAAAGAAAAAGGTTGTACAATGGTTTGTAGTAAGTGTTTCATCCCAGTGAATGTGATGGCTAGTTTGTAAGTTGGTCAGGAGCAGATCCCTGTGTTGGACTGCTGAGGAGAAAGTAACCATGTGGTTTTCCTTGGTTCAGCGGTTCCATCAAGGTCTATTCTCCAGGTTTTTAATACCAGCAGAAACATTTTGATGTGACTAACTGCAGCTGAAATGTTCAATTAGAGAGCAGTATTAAAAAACTGTCTGAGGATATCAATTTTCACTTCATGTCCTGAAATAGTTTGTCCTATCTTTCTTTAAAGTCGGAATTAAATAATGTAGTGTGGTAAGCACCTCATCCCAGTGAATTTACATGTCAAGATGGTAGTAACAACTATTCATTGTTTGCTCTTGGCTACTTGGGGTGGTACTCATTCCTCTGCTTGTGGTTTCGTTTTTCAAGTTATGTTTGTGTCCTTCATTTGTAGTTGAACTTTCTGTATGCAGGGTAGGGGTGCCAACTGTTCAGAGGAAGGCAACAAAGGGGAGCTTTACTGTGAAGGTATCATTTGTATGATTTACAAATCCTTGTGTTCTTATGGGGTGATTCTATTTACAGGACACTTCATCTCAGTACACTTCCCATTTTATAATTTGCTATTACAAAAGTTACCAAAAAAGGCTTCAGCCCTAAAAAAAAAAAAAATTCTAAATCCTAACTTCTCAGCCCACACATTCTTTCACCACAATCTCCACCAGCCACCACTACTGCCACCCAACTGCATTGCCGACTTCACCATCCACTGTTGTGGTTGCCATTTCCCACCTCCCCAAACCTTTTCCCCCATCCTGCCACCCCCTCTACCTTCACACCCCTTTGCAAAACCCTAGTCCAAGGCGGAGGTGAAGGGGCTGGGGATGGAGGGTTGCTGTGGAATTGGAGGGGGGTTTGTGGTGGTGGATGGAGTTTGCCAGTGGAGGAGAGGGTCTCTTGTGGGGGGAGGTGCTTGGGGGTTGGTTGTTGGAGGTGGTGGTAGTGGTGGCTGTAGGTGTGATGGGATAGAGTTAGGGTTTGAAAGGTTAGTTGTGTAAAGATGAGTGTATGTTTGGCATTTTGTCGAGTGTAAAGAGAGAATCAAAATTTTAAATTTGTGTAGCAATTATAATTTGGAGTCACCCGTAATTGCATAGTGGAGTTAGTTACACTAGTCATATCATTTATGAAATCTCTCAACCAGTTGCGCTTGTTTGCAGCAACCACAGCCACAGCCACAAGTCAACACAGTACCAAAGCAGAAGCCTCAGACCCTAGATTCACTGTTTGCAAACATGAAGGAACAGAGGATTAGGGCTTTATCTCAACAGAGCAGTGGAAGACGAAATGGGGGTGGCCAGCCAAGGCACCAGCATTGGGGAAGAGGTCGATTTGGCAACTGATAAGAGTCTGGTGAGAAACACACAGCTTGATTGGCATCATTAACTGCTTGCGAGATAGTTCGTGCTTTACTTTGCTAGTTGAAGTAGTTGGGTGGCATTGAGAATGCATTGCCTTCTACTGATCATCTTTTTTCTGTTCGTTTCTTTGTTCTTGTCAGTTTTTTGTAGTATTTTCCCTTATATACTCTCCAGTCATTTGCTGTGGCATTATCATTGTATAGCCATCTCTCTCCTAGGTCCAGATCATGGATGTAATTCTTACTTTCTGGTTGGTGGCTGAAAAAGGATGTTACTTTGTGTTTCTCCAAGTAAAACATTTGTGTTTGTCTCTGCACTAGGAATTTGCTAAGAGATTGCGGGGTGAACGATTGGGGCTTCAAAATTTGAAAATGTGCCATCATTTGGATGAACTAAGTTTCAATGAATTTCAGATCTATGTGAATAGTTTGTTTCCTTTTGTATCTGACTGAGAATGCAAGCTTGTGTTGTTGAGCGCTGTTTGCTTTGATATGTTAGTGGATGCTTCCCAGGCCTTTGATTTTTGCTGTAGCTCTCAATTGTGCACCTTTGGCCTTTTTGGAGTCAAAATTTCACAATGTATTTTTGTGCTAGTAATTGTATTTTTGTCATTTTTGTGCTATCAATGTGTGTGGATGCATCTACAGCGTTACTGAGATGTGTAATGGGAATATTAAGATATGTAGTGTTGCATCTTTCTTTTCAGGAAAATCAAAGTTCATTTGCCTAGATCAAGAGTTCAAATTTTGTTGCATGTAATATTCCCTCTTCCGTCTATCCTTGAGTTCTAATCATGGATCGATTGCACCCACTGTCTAACAACTTGATCAATTACAACATTAGCAAAGCTATGTCTTAGTGTTGCGTTTGTTAGTGGTGTGGGTTCTGTTTGGTTGAGTTTTGAGAACTTTTATTTAAAAAAATAAAAAATTAAATTGACGCAAGCATTAAAAAATATATTTTATTCCAAAAAAGAAAAATTTTATGAAAATAAAATGTGTTTTTGTTTTTCATTTTTTTTAACCGGACTAATTTTGTAATTTTTATAAAAAAAATAATAAACCCAAGTTATCTTCCAACAAAATTATTAAACTTATTTCTCTTCTGGCAACTAAATAAAATAGTCCAAAAAAAGCATTACAAAAAATCTACTCTCTATTTTCTACATATTTTTTTTTTTTATAAAAAATCAAAAAATTATTAAAATAATATGTTTTCAAACTAGGCCAATCAAACTCTTTTCTGCTTTCCACCCTTGTGGTTGCAGATGCCTTAGAATGGGAATGTGTGTGTCCAAGTCTAAAGTAAGCTAGACAGACAGACAGACAAACAAATTAAGATAAGATCTGTTGTGGTTGGAAACCATTCAGGGAGGGATACTTAAATTAAAACTGAATACTGATATCCTTGGTAGTACTAGTGGAGGAGGCCTCATTATGGATCTTTTGTAAAAATGGATTTCAAGGATTCCGTCATCACTTTTGTGTTCCATCCAATTCTGCAGAGGAGCTGTGGCTTTATTTCCACGACGCAAGTTGAACTATTTTTTATACAAAATCATAATCTGATAAATAATCAGCAAGTTGGGGGTGTAGCTCATATGGTAGAGCGCTCGCTTCGCATGCGAGAGGCACGGGGTTCGATTCCCCGCACCTCCACCTTTTTTTCTTTTTTCTTTTTTCTTTTTTCTTTTCTCTTCTTCTCTTTTGTTTTTCGTATCAAAATACTAATTTTAAACCTGATGCGATGTGCTGTGCTGGTTGTTGATGCTTTAAATGATCAGAAATTGATGCATAATTTTGGTGCAGCAAGAGTATTTCGATGAATATTTTTGTTCTATGCTATTCGTAGAATGTTTTGGTAGATGTCTCGGTTCAGTTGTTGAAGGCTCAATTTTGGATAATTTTCTAATTTTGTATCTAAATTTGTTTATTCCTACTCTCTCTCTCTCTCTCTCTCTCTGTTCTTTGGTATTTGATGAGTTCCCAAACGGTTGATAGATAATAATGTTTTAGGTTAAAAACTTCTGTGCATCTATATATCATTCTGGAAATGCATGGAAAAGCTTGTGTCAATTCCCTTTTTGTCTTTAATTTTCTACAAGTAATTTTTATATGAAGAGTTTTCTTGCTTTGTTGAGGTAAGTTTTCATTTAGACTTTCAATTAGTTTCTTAGGCTGTGTTTGGTTTATGGTCTCTTTCTAAATCTTTCTCCAAATTTATGAACCAAACACAGCTTAAGGATTTATGGAATTATATCTTGATTTTTATGCTTAAACCAGAACACCAGACATAACCCGTGTCCTTTGTTTGAGTCATGTGAACACACCATTAGAGTCGGATTGGTTTTCTTAGAATTTTAAAATGATGACGAGGTTTCGTTCCAAGAGAAACTCCTTGGTTCATTTGCTCGTCATTTTTTTATAATGTGGACAATTTCATTTTTTCACAGATTTTGTCTTGTTCCAAGGGCCCGTATGAGATGTAAGTATTAAGTCAGAAGAAATTTCGTTGGGTTACTTTTTTGAATTTGTCTCATTTGATCTATTAAGGTTGTTTTGAATATGACTTATAAGCTGATTTTTTTGTTTATTATAAAAAGGCATGCATAAAAGTAGAGAGTCGATATGATCCAAATAAACTGGCTTTTTTGAATGTTGTCGAAGGAGGCTTGAGACTCATTTTTTTATTTATTTTTTTTGTGTGTGTTAAAGATCTTTGCCCTCATTTGGCATGTTGGGTTAGGGGACTTTTTGATTAAAATAGTCACAAAAAGATAAAATAAACTAAAAAATTAATAAAACAAAATGTTACATCCAAACGATAATCATTTTATTTCTTTTTTCACAAAAATAAAAGAAAGTCAAAAAGCCTAACCCAGTTAACCCCAAGTTAAACAAGTCAAAAAGTCAACCTATTTTCCAAATGAAATTTGCCATTATTCTAATGATCTACAATCATTATTCAGACTGAAAAACAATTGCATTGGAAAATTTTGTTTTTTCTTCACTTTCCAATTTTTACTTCATTGTTTTTGCACAATAGTATATGGTTTTGATCCCAAGATGTTCACTTTTATAAGGATTCCCAGCATGGATGTTCCTAAAAGTAAAGAAGCAAAGAATTCCAATAGTTAAATCAATTTTGAACATTATGGTTCATTTTTACCAATTTTATTATGTTCTAGCATACTTAAATCAATTTTGAACATTTATCAGATTTTCCTCTCGCTTGTGTAATAGTTGTCACAATATTCATGCGAGAGGGTAATTTCTGTATAAATTGGGGCGAGCTGGGTAATGGGCCATTCTGTGAGCCAGTACAGTAAGGACTGAATAAAAGGGCCTTGAAGTTAGCCTAGTTCAAAGGAGCTTTGTTGTTAGCTCGGTTGGCATGATCAGAGCGGCAACAGTTAGCTCAGTCAAACCAGACTAAGCCGAGGTATTGTGGGCCTTTTCTCAGGGCCTTGCTGTTGAATAGCTTGGTCGAGGCACGCTATGGATAACGTGGTTTCAACAGGCAATCGAGGTACAACAGTATGAAAACTTAGCTAGCTTGGTGTTGTGCATTGAAGCGCCAAACTTGGTTAGCTCGGTATTAAATGAACAGCCCAGTTGAAGTGTCAAACCGAGGCGCGCGCAGTGAAAGGAAGAACTGAGTTAGTTGGAGCTCGGTCTAGTCTGCGGCTTTAGCATGGCCATGTTATCTCGGTCGTATTAACATCCAACCGCGGTAGAACCATCTCACTTGGTTTAAGCAGTGAGGGGGTGTTGAAGGATAAGCATTATCTTTCGGGAATGTGATTCCTAGGAAGACTCTATATGGAGGAGTAAGAGTCCCACTTGGATTGTGCCATGCGGAACCTATAAAAGCTCACAACATCACCTATGGAGAGGTAACACAACTTTAATTCTCGAATACACAGAGCTTTTGTCTATTTGTCTATTTTGCTCACTTAGGCATCGGAGAGGTATCCGGCACACACCCACCGGCTAGCTCACGTTTGTGTTTTCAGGGAATAAAGCGACGACGTTTGGAGGAGCGCAGATTTGATCAACAGGATTATACGAGAAGATTATTCCTTGTGTAATAGTTAAATCAATTTTGAACATTATGGTTCATTTTTACCAATTTTATTATGTTCTAGCATACTTAAATCAATTTTGAACATTTATCAGATTTTCCTCTCGCTTGTGTAATAGTTGTCACAATATTCATGCATTTCAAAAAAAGGGTTTTTCTGCACTTCTCTTGATCATTATTCTGAAAGCCAATGACTGCTGCATTCTTTCTAAATTTGTCGCAGATGATATGTTATGATCTTTATGGTCTTCAATTATTCTACGAATCGCAACTAAGAGCTTCCATGTGAGCAATCTTTCATAATTTTAGATTGTGATAAGATATTCATTAGAAGGTTGGGCCTTCAATTGACATTTTTGAACTGTGATTGATTTTAAGGTGTTTTTCTTTCCCTTAGTCATATATTCAAAGTCGATTTTATTTTTTTTTAAGGTTTGGATGCTGGCTTGCATGCGCTAATTTGACAACTAAATTTATGCGGTGGGAGAACCTTCTTATCGATTAAAACCTCTAAACATTATCAGTAGTCCTTTCTCGGATTGTAGACTAATTACTAAACTTATCATCACCTTGTGTTTTAGGCCTCGTTTGGAAAGTTACCGGTTTAGTCAAAAAGTTAAAAAGTTATTAAAAAAATAAAAAAGTCAACAACTCATATAAAAAAATCAAGGGAGATTTACCAATAAATCCTACATGTTGATATTATAATCCAATTAGTCCCAAATGTTTTTTCATGCTCCATTTAGTCCTGTTTGTTTAATTTTTTTTACATCACATTTTAGCCAAAAAATTAAAAAGTTACTAAAAAAGCCTGTTCCTAAACAAGGCCTTAATGACAAAAATAGGCACCACAACAAAAATAGTCTTTAGAGATGAAAACTAATGATGAAAATAAATTTTGTCACAAAATACGTATCTTTTAATGACAAAAATAATATTTCGTCTCAAAATGTACCATTTTAGAGACAAAAATAAAATTTCGTCACCAATCTAAATACATAATTAAAAAATTAGGTGACGAAATTATTTTTCGTCATTATTTATATTTTTTTTGTCACCAAAGATTTTCCAGATTTTCCCGCTATTTTTTTGGAGGGTATCAAAATTTTGAGACTTTTGGTGACGAAAAAATTGGTCACCAATTATAAAATTATTAATGACGAATATATTTTTGTCACCAATAATTTTTAATATTTTAATATCATTTAGTGACAAAACTATTTTTGTGGCCAATATTTTTATTTTTGGTGAAGAAATAATTTTGTCACCAATAAATGATTTAGTTGCTAAATATTTTAGAGGGAAATGAAAATATATTGGCGCCTATAAGCGGATCTCTGTTTTTCTTAAAAAAAAAGAAAAAAAAGAAAAAAAACCTGTTATGCTTGGTTATACACATAGACCTCTCTCTTTCTCTCTCTCACACACACACAATAATTTCTCCAGCAAACCTAATTTCACACACACACACACACACACACACACAAAATAATTTCTCCATCAAACCTAATTTCACACTTCTCACACACACAACATAATTTCAAACTTCTCACACACACACACACACACACACACACACACACCTTATACTCATTCACGGGACTGAGTTTCCTCACCGTCGCTGCTAACATTTCATATGCACCCACACCAGAAAACCCACAAAACACTATAAAACCAAAAACAATACACACCCACACAATAGAAAAATCGAACAACAACACATACGTCTGTAACACAGAAACCAACCCCCAAAAATGCAGCACACAACCCCCTCACCCACCGGATGAACAGAACCCTCCTTACACCAACATGTAATGCGGCACACACCCACAACGGAAGCAATTCAAAAAACAGAGCATACCAGCCTAACACAAAAAATCACGGAAAAATTACCAAAAATCACCCCAAAAAATGCACCACATAACCCCCCACCCTCACCTGTTGTCGTTCAGTCAAAAACACCAAAACATACAAAACTGCAAATGCTATACAAATAAGAAGACATACCTTTCAACCAACGGAGAACCGACTTCCGTTAAACTTTGCCAATCAGTCCGTCACATAGCCACTGTAAATCACTGACCCACACCACTAACAACCCTAAAGTCGCATAGGCTGAAACGTCTCAACAGGTAACATTGAAATATCAACTGTTATACCCACAAAATCTGCAGACCCACGTGATCCCCAACAGAATATGGAAACATAACAATAATGGGTAAAACTGTCCACACAGTTGCACCAAATATGGAAAATAGGATCAACAAGTAACAAACTTCCCCACTGATAGGACTTACCTGAACAAAAGAATAAAGTTGGGACTAATTGGTTTAAGAGTTTGTGAAATAGGATTTATTGGTAAATTTTCCCAAAATCAAAGATTTCATTTTTTCTCCTACTTTTTACACATTTTTTCGTAAAAAACTAAAAAGTCATCCCAAACATACTAGTTTTTTTTACATCACATTTTAGCCAAAAAATCAAAAAGTTACTAAAAAAGCCTGTTCCTAAACAAGGCCTTAATGACAAAAATAGGCACCACAACAAAAATAGTCTTTAGAGATGAAAACTAATGATGAAAATAAATTTTGTCACAAAATACGTATCTTTTAATGACGAAAATAATATTTCGTCTCAAAATGTACCATTTTAGAGACAAAAATAAAATTTCGTCACCAATCTAAATACATAATAAAAAAATTAGGTGACGAAATTATTTTTCGTCATTATTTATATTTTTTTTGTCACCAAAGATTTTCCCGCTATTTTTTCAGAGGGTACCAAAATTTTGAGACTTTTGGTGACGAAACAATTGGTCACCAATTATAAAATTATTAATGACGAATATATTTTTGTCACCAATAATTTTTAATATTTTAATATTATTTAGTGACAAAACTATTTTTGTGGCCAATATTTTTATCTTTGGTGAAAAAATAATTTTGTCACCAATAAATGATTTAGTTGCTAAATATTTTAGAGGGAAATGAAAATATATTGGCGCCTATAGAAGCGGATCTGTTTTTCTTAAAAAAAAAGAAAAAAAAGAAAAAAAACCTGTTATGCTTGGTTATACACATAGACCTCTCTCTTTCTCTCTCACACACACACACACAATAATTTCTCCAGCAAACCTAATTTCACACACACACACAAAATAATTTCTCCATCAAACCTAATTTCACACTTCACACACCCACACACACCTTATACTCATTCACGGGACTAAGTTTCCTCACCGTCGCTGCTAACATTTCATCGATTCACACACATCGCCGGCGCGCCAATCAGCTCGCCGCCGACAGCCTTTCCTCACCGCCGCTGCTGTGCCGATCGGCTCACCACCACCGCTGTTAGTCTCTCACTCTCTCTCTCGATGCTCTCTCTGTGTAATAGTTTCGTCCACTGCTCTCTCTCTGGTGTATATGCTCTAGATACATATAATATATATATATATATATATAACTTCAGCAGCCAATGTCAGCAACCAATGTTCATCTTTCTTTGTATGTGATTTTTTTTTCTCTTTTTGTAAATCCAATTAAGGCCATTGTTCTGGAAATTGAATTCTTTATATGAATTTTTTTTTATTGGCTTGTGTATTGAACCAAGATTTAATCCATTGGCTTTCCTGATTGTTTAATTAATTAACCTTACCTTTTTAAATGCTTCTGTTAACTAGGGGATTTGATTATTATTTTTATTTATTTATTACATTTGTCTTCAGAAAGAAGAGAGGCCAAAACTCATCTTAGAGTAAGCTTGAAGGATGTGAAGATTGTAGATGAAGTAATAGGATATTTGATTGAGTTCATTATTGTTACGTTTGGGAATTTTTTTTTTGTTTTTTGTTTTTTGAGATGTTTATAAGCTATATTTTGTTGATATGTTGATTAGATTTTGGTATGAGGACAACATAATTATTTTGGTCCTTTAATGATTGTTTTTGTTTTCTACCTTAATGATATTTGTCTTTATGCAATGAGTGAGGTTTTTAAATATTAATGTTGAATGAATTAAGACATTTTTATCATTAAATATGAGAAGACTTTAATAGTAGCATTGAAAAAAAGGCCAGAATATTTATAATCCCTAGCCACCATCTTTATTGCCACATTATCTTAGGTGATTTTTCTTGACTTACAAGGTCTTAATTTTGAGGCCCCTTCCCTTCAGTTCAGAGATTGTCTCCTGATTCATGAACAATATCTATTTTCTTTCAGCATCTCTGCCCATGGAATGCCAATTTTTTGTGTGATTGTTTTATCTATCCTTATTCCTTTTCACGAAGTAATTTTCTGTGCTTTTCATGTATTAATTATTCAGAGCTGTTTCATATTATGATTTCTACGATCCTTTTATGCCTCAAAATCTTCTTCTGACAACTTTTTTTTTCTCTTCTATGACACTGCATATTGTCCTTCATTGACCCTTTGAATCATGGACTATTCTGTTGTCTAAGCCTCTAATAACCTTTATGGTTCAGTTCTATTACTTTATTCAATTTATTTTATAGTACTCGAACACTATCATATTTCTATATAAATATAGATAGGTAGAAGTCAGTAGTTTACATGATAAGTGTTAAGATGTAGAAATTTGTTGTAAGCAGGGAAATGGTCAGAGACCGGAAGTGCGTGTAGTCACATGGAACAATGATGAGCTTGCAACAGATGCACTACCTGTCTATGGCTTTGAGCATTACAAGGCAAAGGATTATGCCCTTGCTCATGCTCCATTCTCAGGTAAAAGTGTCCGAGAGTTTATGAATTTGCATTCAAACAGTGGTAATACTTATGCATTTTTATGTAGGTAGCAGCTATGCAGGTGGGCAGTGGGCTGCTAGTGATGAGCCATTATACTATATTATATCCCCAAAGGATGTAGTTATTGCAAAACCTAGGTTAGTTCAATTTTATCTTTCCTTAGTTTCTATTTTAATAGAATGTCAGTATGTAATTTTCCTATTGATAATTAATTACATCACAAAAGGCTAGAATATTTATAGTCCGAATACACTTTTTACATATCCAAAATACTTTCATATTTTTTTATTCACTTTTTACATATTTCAATACACTTTACACATTTTTCAACACTAATAACAGCCCTAGGGGTTGTTTTTAGCATTATCGTTAATTATATCAATCTCTATGCTATCTTATCTATAAAGTAAGAAGACACTTTTTCCGCACTTGTGAATCCAATCACTGCTTAATGCTATCTGTCAAGTTTAGTTCATGAGATGATTATTATGCAAACATTAGGAGTTATCTGTTTAAAGTTCTCCCCTGCTTCTCATCTTTTTCATATGTCTGCTCACCAAATGTAGTATCTTTAGAATTCCAATTAAGCATAGGCTCCTCACCATTTATGGATATCTAAATCTGAATACTTCAAGTTTGTGAGAAGGTAGATAGAAGTGAAAAAAATCTGGAAGTTCTTATTGAAAAATAAGAAAATGGTGAAACAAATTAAGAAGGTGCATGAGTAAATAGGTGTCCCAATTGGTTGGGAGGTGCTTGAGCAGACAAGTGTAGAATTCATCCATTAGTTTTAGTGAGTTCAATGAATTTTTTATTTAACGAATTTAAGTGTATGTCATCTTAATATAGTGAGTGAATTGCCTGAAAATGGAATGCTTTAAATTTTAATTCACCCTTATAGAAAAATTGGGGGATTTAAAAGCATAATTTTGATTTCTTTACTGCTCGCATTGTTTGTTTTGCCATTATATCATCTCCTATGCCATATTAAAAATCACAAACTCTGTTGATTTACAAATGCAATTTCTAGTTGATTGCTAGGGATGCAAAAGATCATATTTCTTGGCTTCTTCAACATGGATGGCATGAAAAAGCTTTAGCAGCAGTTGAAGCTGGGCAGGGACGAAATGAGCTTCTTGATGAGGTATTTCTATTTGATTTTAGTTTAACAGTTCATTTATTTATTTGCATTGTATTACTTACTAAATAAGTAATTGATGCATGATTTACATATGAAATGTTTACATTTTCTTTCCCATATTTTCATGGAAACAATGTAATATAGAAACCTACAGTTTGTCTAGATTCTCTTATTTTTTGGAAGTAAGCTATTTATGTGTTGTTATTTTTAGTCATTCTGGGTTACTTTGTGAATATGTCAATTAATACCTAATGTTATAATCATGAATCACCTAGTTCATGAGGCATATGGGTTGCATATGTTCATAGCATGAATAGTTTGAAAGTGTCCTAGAAGGATTATATTGTTTTGGGACCAAAAACTATGCTCAATGCAATGCACTGGATACTTGTCTAAGGCCCGACATTTCAAAATTCAAAATAATGGCCTTTATGCCCCAAATGCTAACATTTGGAAATTCAAAACAATTGCCTTTATGACCTAAATACTTATTCGGCAACAAAGCCAAGAAAATGATCAACCCACTGAAATCCCTCCATAGCATAAACAATTCAATGCTCCAAACCTTTACGAACCAAAATTCATGCCTCTTTTGTGGCTCCAAATTATAGCCTTTTAAGGGCATTGTGCTTCTAAAAAATAAAAGAGCGACATTAGGCATTCCAACTCCCCCGAAGTATGAGGTGGTTAAAATTAAATCTAGTCATTTTCTAGATAAAAGATGGCGCCTAGTCCTTGACAATTGGTTATATATGCCATTTCCATTTATGACGTTCGGACAGTCATTTTTGTAGCCATAGTATGGCTGTTTTCACTATCTCTTGTTGTCAGTTTTGATTGTTTCAATTGCAAAATCTTTTTCCTGTACATGTGGACAATAACTAAACTTTGCTATGTATTTCCTTCCACAGTTCCATATTATATTATAGTATCGGTAATAATACATTTTCAATTTGTCCACTATGTATGCAGGTGGGGTCTAGCTATCTTGATCATTTGATTGTGGAAAGGAAATATACTAAAGCCGCATCATTATGTCCCAAATTGTTGCGAGGATCAGCTTCAGCATGGGAGAGGTACTAAATACTATTAAGTATGACTCTCCTGTAAATTTATTTTTAATAACTAGCAGTGGGTTATTTCTCACAAATGGGTTTTCTACTTTGCTCATCTTCGTCAGCTTCCTGTATTGGTTCCATACATACCAACTGAAAACCCAAGGTTACGTGATACTACTTATGAGGTATGCAATATTTGACATTTCTTGAAAACTTAATTTGATACTTCATATGCTCTTTGGACTTGCTAAATTGGAAATAAAGGTCTTAGCGGTTTTTGTTAATCATCTACAGGTAGCTCTTGTTGCTCTGACAACAAATCCATCTTTTCACAAGGATCTCTTGTCAACTGTCAAATCTTGGCCGCCTGTAATTTATTCTGCCTTGCCTGTTATCTCAGCCATAGGACCTCAGCTTAATACTTAATGGAAAAGATCTTTTGCTTCGTATCATATCTAAGCTTGAAATTGCCCATTTCCTTGATTTGCTTTTTGTTTCTGTTGTTGTTATTGTAATCATTATCAGTTGTTACCTAGAAAGGAAAAATTCAAAGAGAACACTGAAACTTCTTTATTGTTAATCAGTTCAATTATCAGTCAGTTATCAGTCATAATCAATTCAGTTTAACGGCAATCGGTGATTAACGGTAATCAATCAGTCATTAATCAGTAAACAGTATGAGGGTTGTTACAGATTGCAAACGTGCAGTACCATTGTTGACCCAACATAGAGACTTAATCACTGCATCAAAAGTTGTTGCGGGGAATAAGTGTGATTCCAGATACTTTTTACATCTGTATCTATTTTCGCTATTTGAAGCTAACCCGCATTCTGGAAGGGATTTCCATGATATGCAGGTATGCAGAAAGAGAATTAAATTCATATTAGAAAATGCTTTCACACTAGGGTTGGTTTTGTTCTTAACTTTTGGAGTGATGGGGAGATTGAATCAGAAGAGGCTCATGGGATGAAAATTGATGTGCATAAATAAAAAGAATTGCATAATGGCTAAATATTATCATCTAAATTAATCTTTTGTAATGGCAACTGTGGAGTGTGAGAACCATCCACTTGTGAGCTCCATCAATAAGTGCACTTTTTTTGACAGAATCTACCTTCTTGTAGATGTTGGAACTATTAAAGTATTTAGAATAGTAGTTGATTAATCATCCATTTTATGGAAAGATACTTCTATTGGAAATGGTGATATTTCGAATCATGGGATGTGGTAGTGCTATAAGTACGTTGTCGAACTAGCACGGGACACCCGGTTCGAAAACTAAATCCAAAAATGCACTTTTTCACATTTAAGCTTGAAAATAGGTCTTCAGGGGCCAAAATCGTGTCATAGCCACGAGACGGCCCGAATAATACCTCAAACATCTCGGGAGGGATCAAAGTAAGTTGTGGAAACTTACGGAACAAGCACGGGACTCCCGGTTCAAAAACGAAGTCCAAAAATGCACTTTTTCACACCTAAGCTTGAAAATAAGCCATCGGAGGCCAAAATCGTGCAACAGCCACGAGACGGCCTGGGGAACACCTGAAACATCTCGGGGGAGACCAATGTGAGTTGTGGAAACTTACGGAACTAGCACGGGACTCCCGGCTTGAAAACTAAGTCCAAAAATGTACTTTTTCACAATTAAGCTTGAAAATATGCCTTTGGGGGCCAAAATCGTGTAACAGCCACGAGACGGCTCGGGTAACACTTCAAACACCTCGAGAGGGACCAATTTGAGTTGTGAAAATTTACGGAACTAGCACAGGACGCCCGGTTTGAAAACTAAGTCCAAAAAAACACTTTTTCACACTTCAGTTTGAAAATAGGCCATCGGAGGCCAAAATCGTGCAACAGCCACGAGACGGGCCGGGAAACATCTCAAACATCTCGGTAGGGACCAATGTGAGTTATGGAAACTTACGGAACTAGCACGGGACTCCCGATTTGAAAACTAAGTCCAAAAATACATTTTTTCACACTTCAGCTTGAAAATAAGCATTCGGGGGCCAAAATCGTGCAATAGCCACGAGACGGCCTGGGTAACACCTCAGGAGGAACCAAAGTAAGTCGTGGAAACATACAGAACTAACACGGGACTCTCGGTTCGAAAACTAAGTCCAAAAATGCACTTTTTCACACTTAAGCTTGAAAATAGGCCATCGAAGGCTAAAATCGTGCAAAAGCCACGAGTTGGCCCAGGGAACACCTCAAACACCTCGGAAGGGACCAATGTGAGTTGTGAAAATTTACGGAACTAGCACGGGACTCCCAGTTTGAAAACTAAGTCCAAAAATGTATTTTTTCACACTTAAGCTTGAAAGTAGGCCTTCAGAGGCCAAAATCGTGTAACAGCCACAAGACGGCCTGGGTAACACCTCAAACATCTCAGAAGGGACCAAAGTAAGTTGTGGAAACTTACAGAACTAGCACAGGAATCCGAGTTTGAAAACTAAGTCCAAAAATGTATTTTTTCACACTTAAGCTTAAAAATAGGCCATCGGAGGCCAAAATCGTGGAACAGCCACGACACGGCCCAGGGAACACCTCAAGCACCTCGGGAGGGACCAATGTGAGTTGTGGAAACTTACGGAACTAGCACGAGACTCCCGGTTTGAAAACTAAGTTCAAAAATGCATTTTTTCACACTTAAGCTTGAAAATAGGCCTTCAGGGGCCAAAATTGTGTAACAGCCACGAGACGGCCCGGGTAACACCTCAAACACCTCAGAAGGGACCAAAATAAGTTGTGAAAACTTACGGAACTAGCATGGGACTCCCGATTTGTAAACTAAGTCTAAAAATGCACTTTTTCACACTTAAGCTTGAAAATAGGCCTTCGGGGGCCAAAATTGTGTAACAGCCACGAGACGGCCCGAGTAACACCTCAAACACCTCGGAAGGGACCAAAATAAGTTGTGAAAACTTACGGAACTAGCACGGGACTCCCGGTTTGTAAACTAAGTCCAAAAATGCACTTTTTCACACTTAAGCTTGAAAAAAGGCCTTTGATGGCCAAATTCGTGTAACAATCACGAGACGGGCCGGGTAACACGTCAAACACCTCGGGAGGGACCAAAGTAAGTTGTGGAAACTTAGGAAACTAGCACGGCACTCCCGGTTCGAAAACTAAGTCAAAAAATGTACTTTTTCACACTTAAGCTTGGAAATAAGCCATCAGAGGCCAAAATCGTGCAACAGCCACAAGACGGCCCTGGGAACACCTCAAACATCTCGGGAGAGACCAGTGTGAGTTGGGAAACTTACGAAACTAGCACGGGACTCCCGGTTTGAAAACTAAGTCCAAAAATGCACTTTTTCACACTTAAGCTTGAAAATTGATATTCGGGGGCCAAAATTGTGTAATAGCCACGAGATGGCCCGAGTAACACCTCAAACACCTCAGGAGCGATCAAATTAAGTTGTGGAAACTTACGGAACTAGCACGGGACTCCCGGTTCGAAAACTAAATCCAAAAATGCACTTTTTCACACTTAAGCTTGAAAATAGGCCATCGGAGGCCAAAATCGTACAATAGCCACGAGAAGGCTCGGGGAACACCTCAACCACCTCGAGCGGGACCAATGTGAGTTGTGGAAAGTTACGGAACTAGCACGGGACTCCCGGTTTGAAAACTAAGTCCAAAAATGCATGTTTTCACACCTAAGCTTGAAAATAGGACTTCGGAAGCCAAAATCGTGTAACAGCCACGAGACGGCCTGGGTAAGACCTCAAACACTTCAGGAGGGACCAAAGTAAGTTGTGGAAACTTAAGGAATTAGCACGGGACTCTCGATTCGAAAACTAAGTCCGAAAATGCATTTTTTAACACTTAAGCTTGAAAATAGGCCCTCGGAGGCCAAAATCGTGAAACAGCCACGAGGCGGCCCGTCGAACACCTTAAACACCTCTGGAGAGACCAATGTGAGTTGTGAAAACTTAAGGAACTAGCACGGGACTCCCGGTTTGAAATCTAAGTCCAAAAACGCACTTTTTCACACTTAAGCTTGAAAATAGGCCTTCGGGGGCCAAAATCGTGTAACAGCTATTAGAGGGCCTAGGTAATACCTCAAACACCTCGGGAGGGACCAAATTAAGTTGTGAAAATTTACGGAACTAGTACGGGACTCTCGGTTCGAAAACTAAGTCCAAAAATGTACTTTTTCACACTTATGCTTGAAAATAGGCCATCAGAGGCCAAAATCGCGCAACAGCCACGAGACGGCCCAGGGAACACTTTAAACACCTCGGGAGGGACCAATGTGAGTTGTGGAAACTTACGGAACTAGCACGGAACTCCCGGTTTGAAAACTAAGTTAAAAAATGCATGTTTTCACACTTAAGCTTGAAAATACGCCTTCGGGGGCCGAAATCGTATAACATCCGCGAGACGGCTTGGGTAACACCTCAAACACCTTGGGAGGGACCAAATTTAGTTGTGGAAATTTACGGAACTAGCATGGGACTCCCGGTTTGTAAACTCAATCCAAAAATGCATTTTTTCACACTTAAACTTGAAAATAGGCCATCGGAGTCCAAAATCGTGCAACAGCCACGAGACGGTCTGGGTAACACTTCAAACACCTCGGGATGGACCAATGTAAGTTTTGAAACTTACGGAACTAGCACGGGACTTCTGGTTTGAAAATTAAGTCCAAAAATGTACTTTTTCACACTTAAGCTTGAAAATTATCCTTCGGCAGCCAAAATCATGTAACAGCCACGAGACGCCCTGGGTAACACCTCAAACACCTCGGGAGGGACCAAAGTAAGTTTTATAAACTTACGGAACTAGCATGGGACTCCCTGTTCGAAAACTAAGTCTAAAAATACACTTTTTCACACTTAAGCTTGAAAATAGGCAATCGGAGGCCAAAATCGTGCAACAGTCACGAGACGGCCCGGGGAACACTTCAAACACCTCGAGAGGGACCAATGTGAGTTGTGGAAACTTACAGAACTAGCACGGAACTCCCGGTTTGAAAACAAAGTTCAAAAATGCATGTTTTCACACTTAAGCTTGAAAATAGGCCTTCGGGGGCCGAAATCGTGTAACATCCACGAGACGGCTTGGGTAACACCTCAAACACCTCAGGAGGGACCAAAGTTAGTTTTTAAAATTTACAGAACTAGTACGGACTCCCGGTTTGTAAACTCAATCCAAAAATGTATTTTTTCACACTTAAACTTGAAAATAGGCCATCGGAGTCCAAAATCGTGCAATAGCCACGAGATGGTCTAGGTAACACTTCAAACACCTCGGGATGGACCAATGTGAGTTTTGAAACTTACGGAACTAGCATGGGAGTCCTGGTTTGAAAATTAAGTCCAAAAATGTACTTTTTCATACTTAAGCTTGAAAATTAGCCTTCGGCAGCCAAAATCGTGTAACAGCCACGAGATGGCCTGGGTAACACCTCAAACACCTCGGGAGGGACCAAAGTAAGTTTTAGTTAGAAACTTACGGAACTAGCACGGGACTCCCGGTTCGAAAACTAAGTCTAAAAATGCATTTTTTCACACTTAAGCTTGAAAATAGGCAATCGGAGGCCAAAATCGTGCAACAGCCAGGAGACGGCCCGGGGAACACTTCAAACACCTCGGGAGGGACCAATGTGAGTTGTGGAAACTTACGGAACTAGTACGGAACTCCCAGTTTGAAAACTAAGTTAAAAAATGTATGTTTTCACACTTAAGCTTGAAAATAGGCCTTCGGAGGCCAAAATCATGTGACAGCCACGAGACGGCCCATGTAACACCTCAAACACCTCAGGAGGGACCAAAGTAAGTTGTGGAAATTTACAGAACTAGCACGGGGCTCCCGGTTTGAAAACTAAGTCCAAAAATGCACTTTTTCACACTTAAGCTTGAAAATAGGCCATCTGAGGCCAAAATCGTACAACAGCCACGAGACGGCTCGGGTAACACCTCAAACACCTCGGGAGGGACCAAAGTAAGTTGTGAAAACTTACAGAACTAGCACGGGACTCCTGGTTCAAAAACTGAGTCAAAAAATGTACTTTTTCACACATAAGCTTGAAAATAGGCAATCGGAGGCCAAAATCGTGCAACAGTCACGAGACGGCCCGGGGAACACCTCAAACACCTCGGGAGGGACCAATGTGAGTTGTGGAAACTTACGGAACTAGTACGGGACTCTCGGTTTGAAAACTAAGTTCAAAAATGTACTTTTTCACAGTTAAACTTGAAAATAGGCCTTCGGGGGTGAAAATTGTGTAACATCCATGAGACGGCCTGGGTAACACCTCAAACACCTCGGGAGGGACTAAAGTAAGTTTTGGAAACTTACGGAACTAGCACGGGACTCCCGGTTCGTAAACTAATTCCAAAAATACATTTTTTCACACTTAAACATGAAAATAGGCCATCAGCGGCCAAAATCGTGTAACAGCCACGAGACTACTTCTGCCGATACTACTTCTACTGCCTCTGTTAGTTCCCGTTGTATATGATCAAACCATCTCAGCCTATTCTCTCTTAGTTTATATTCTATCGATACTACTTATACCCATTCACAAATATATTCATTTTAACTCTATCTTTTTTAGTGTTGTTGCACATTCACCTTAGCATTCTTATCTCAGCAACACTCATCTTATCTACATGTTGTTTCTTAGTTGCTTAACATTTTGTCTTATACAACATCGCTAGAAATTATGCAAAAATAAAATAAAAAAGATTTTTGAATTTTGGGGTTAGATTTGTAGTGTAAATAGAATTTGCCTCTTTTTTACTAGGCTTTAGGCCTCATTTGGGAACAAGCTTTTTTAGTAATTTTTTGACTTTTTGGTTAAAATGTGATGTAAAAAAAAAAACTAGTATGTTTGGGATGACTTTTTAGTTTTTACGAAAAGATGTACAAAAAGTAAAGAAAAAAGGGAATCTTTAACTTTTAATATAAGTTGTTGGCTTTTTAAATTTTTTAGTGATTTTTTGACTTTTAGGCTAAAAACTGATATTGCCAAACGAGACCTTAATTATAAAAAGTCAAAAACCCACACTGAAAGCCCCTATAACAGGTTTTAAAAAGCCCATTATTTTGTATTTCAGTGGGACAAACAAAGCCCATTAAAAGGTCGGCTTTCAAAGCAAACCAAACGAAGCCTTAGCCCCCAAAAAGATCAAGTCTCAACAGGCCTGCTAAAGCCCAGACTCTCAAGGCCCAAACTTATGCCCAACCCATAACAGGCCTAGCTTTTCCATTAAGAGAGTTGCGTTAATCCCAGTCCAGTAATTAAATTAAACCTCCAGGGCCATATATGTAAAATCACAGATTCGACGTCCCCATTATAAGCCCTAACCCAAGCCAATCGATCTCTTTATATATTTTTCTGCAGACTCCAAACCTTTCACTCACCTCTCACCTCTGTATTAGTCGAATTCTAGCCCAGGTCTCTCTCTCTCTCTCTATATATATATATAAACTACATATATATGTATGTTGATTAGAATTTGGATCTTCGATTTTGTGAGGAAAAGAAAGAAAAGTGAGAATTTGTGTAAAAAAATTGTATTTTTAGTTTATTCACATTGTGTTTTTAGTAATAAATTTGTGAAATTCGAGATCTAAAAAGTATGGGGGTGCGATGATGATAAATGTTAATCCCAGCTCATTATGAGGCCTTGTTTTTAGAGACTAAGGCCTGGGAATAGACTCTATAGACTCTATCCAACATCTATCTGAGCTTCAAAACTTTTTTTTATGTTATTATTTTATTTTAATTTTAATTTTGATTTTTGATTTATTACTATAACTTTTGTGATTAGAAAAACAAGGGTTTGATCTTTTTAATGTTCCCTGTGATGTTTGTAAGTCTGATGACCATGCTAATTTTGATCAATCTGTGATTGAATCCTTATTTACTTGTTTTTCTGAGGGAACATTACACTTTTTTGCCATTTTCAATTTTCTACTTCTCTTGAATTGATTTTTTTTTCCACATTTAAATCTTATTATATAAAAATATGATTAGTCTAGCATTATTGTTAGAGATCTCCAATCTATAGTACTTAAAATTATCCTCAATCCTTTTATCAATTAGTTATCAAATTAAGAGAGATTTTTTTTATCAAATTGATAATTAAATTTGAGTTTGATGAAAATTTATAAAAATAAAGGATTGAAGATTGAAATTTTTTCATTAAATTTTATGAAAGGAGAAATTTTGGATAAGAAGGAATTTTTAAAAGGATTTTGATGAAAGAACGTGGTTAGTTCATATTAAATTATACTTCTATTCAAATTTAAATTCTCAAATTAGATGGAAAATAAGTAGTGAAGAGGTGGAGATGCTTTTTACATAGTAAATTAGCACGGGAGAGACCAATGTGAGTTGTGAAAATTTACAGAACTAGCATGGGACTCCCGATTTGAAAACTAAGTCCAAAAATGCATTTTTTTACACTTAAGCTTGAAAATAGGCCTTCGGGGGCCAAAATCGTGTAACAGCCACGAGACGGCCCGGGTAACACCTCAAACACCTCAGGAGGGACCAAAGTAAGTTGTGGAAACTTACAGAACTAGCACGGGACTCCTAGTTCGAAAACTAAGTCCAAAAATACACTTTTTCACACTTAAGCTTGAAAATAGGCATCAGAGGCCAAAATCATGCAATAGCCATGAGACGGCCCAAGGAACACCTCAAACACCTCGGGAGGGACCAATGTGAGTTGTGGAAACTTATGGAACTAGCACGGGACTCCCTATTTGAAAACTAAGTTCAAAAATGCACTTTTTCACACTTAAGCTTGAAAATAGGCCTTCGGGGGCCAAAATTGTGTAACAGCCACGAGACGACCTAGGTAACACCTCAAACACCTCGGGAGGGACCAAAGTAAGTTATGGAAACTTACAGAACTAGCATGGGACTACCGGTTCGTAAACTAAGTCCAAAAATGCACTTTTTCACACTTAAACTTCAAAATATGCCATCGGAGGCCAAAATCGTGCAACAACCACAAGACGGCCTGGGTAACACCTCAAACACCTCGAGACGGACCAATGTGAGTGGTGAAAACTTACGGAACTAACACGGGACTCTCGGTTTGAAAACTAAGTCCAAAAATGCACTTTTTCACACTTAAGCTTGAAAATAAGCCTTCGGCGGCCAAAATCGTGTAACAACCACAAGACGGCCCGGGTAACACCTCAAACACCTCGGGAGGGACCAAAGTAAATTGTGGAAACTTACGAAACTAGAACGGGACTCCCAGTTCGTAAATTAAGTCCAAAAATGCATTTTTTCACACTTCAACTTGAAAATAGGCCATCGGAGGCCAAAATCATACAACAGCCACGAGACGGCTTGGGTAACACCTCAAACACCTCAGGACGGACCAATGTGAGTTGTGAAAAATTACGGAACAAGCACGGGACTCTCGGTTTGAAAACTAAGTCCAGAAATGCACTTTTTCACACTTAAGCTTGAAAATATGCCTTCGGTGGCCAAAATTGTGTAACAGCCATGAGACGGCCCGGGTAACACCTCAAACACCTCGGGAGAGACCAAAGTAAGTTGAGGAAACTTACGGAATTAGCATAGGACTCCCGGTTCAAAAACTAAGTCCAAAAATGCACTTTTTCACACTTAAGCTTGAAAGTAGGCCATCGGAGGCCAAAATTGTGCAACGGCCACGAGACGGCCCAGGGAACACCTCAAACACCTCGGGAGGGACCAATGTGAGTTGTGAAAACTTACGGAACTAGCACGGGACTCTCGGTTCGAAAACTAAGTCCAAAAATGTATTTTTTCACACTTAAGCTTGAAAATAGGCCTTCGGGAGCCAAAATCGTATAACAGCCACGAGACGTCCTGGGTAACACCTCAAACACCTCGGAAGGGACCAAAGTAAGTTGTGGAAACTTACGGAACTAGCACGGGACTCATGGTTCGAAAACTAAGTCCAAAAAAACACTTTTTCACACTACAACCTGAAAATAGGCCATCGGAGGCCAAAATCGTGCAACAGCCACGAGATGGCCTGGGGAATACCTCAAACACCTCGGGATGGACCAATGTGAGTTGTGGAAACTTACGGAACTAGCACGGGAATCCCAGTTTGAAAACTAAGTCCAAAAATTCACTTTTTCACACTTTTGCTTGAAAATAGTCCTTCGGGGGCCAAAATCGTGTAACAGTCACGAGACGTCCCAGATAACACCTCAAACACCTCGGAAGGAACTAATGTAAGCTATGGAAACTTACGGAACTAGCACGGGACACCCGGTTCGAAAACTAAGTCCAAAAATGTACTTTTACACACTTAAGCTTGAAAATAGGCCATCGGAGGCCAAAATCGTGCAACAGCCACGAGACGGCACGGGGAACACCTCAAACACCTCGGGAGGGACCAATGTGAGTTGTGGAAACTTATGGAACTAGCATGGGACTCTCGGTTCGAAAACTAAGTCCAAAAATGTATTTTTTCATACTTAAGCTTAAGAATAGGCCATCGGGGCCCAAAATTGTGTAACAGGCACGGGAAGGCCCGGGGAACACCTCAAACACCCGGGAAGGGACCAATGTAAGCTGTGAAAACTTACAGAACTAACACCGGACTCCCGATTTGAAAACTAAGTCGAAAATGCATGTTGAATTGTATATTTTATTGATAAAATAATGATTGTCTAACTTGCAATCTTTTTTCTTTTTTCCTTTTTGGTGTTTCATTTTTTTACAGATTCGAGATTTGATATGGACATGTTTGGTAATTTGAAGAGCAAAAGCTAGCTCATTTGTGTTTTTGCTCATATTACCTTACATGTACTTTGATTGCGTTGTAAATTTTATATTTTTGTTGGTATTACAGGACATGTTTCGTTATCCGCAGTTGATATTTTATTTTTGTTAATATTAGTAGACATGTTTTTTGTGGATATTAGGAGACGTGTTTGGTAATTCGCATGCGGTTGATATTATATTTTTGTGGATATTAGTAGACATGTTTTTTGTGGATATTAGGAGACATGTTTATAATCTGCATGCAGTTCATATTGTATTTTTATGGGTAGTGCTGAAATTCGATTGTGATGTTTATGAAAATGAACAGATTTTTGTATTGATTTGTAATAGATATTTTATTAAACAGGTTATTGAAATGCGTTGGGAATTTTTAGATGAACAGGTTAAATTTAATTCGAAATTAGGACCCCCATTTTCAAATTTTTTAATTTTTATTAGCAACGAAATAAAAAATGTCGCTATTAGTTTTGAAAAAACATGAAGAATAATTTTGTCACTAATGATATAGTACCAAACAAATAATTTCATCACATTTGCTGAATATTTCATCACTAAATTGAAATATTTGGTGACAAATTTTTTTTGTCATTGAAGAATTTGCTTTTCTACTCATTTTAGTGACGAATTTTTTTGTCACTTTTAATCCATATCATTGGCGAGGAAAACTTTCGTCACTGAAATCTATTTGGTGACGAAATATTTCGTCGTCAAAAACAATTAAAATAAAATATTATTTAATTTTGGTGACGAAATTGATGTTATGGAGGACGAAAAATGCAACATTTGGAAACGAAACATTTCATCGCCAAAAATGAAAAATAGGCGACGAAACTGTTTTTCATCAACAGGTACTTTTAGCGACAACGTATAGGCGACAAACGTGGTCACAAATTTTTTTTGTCATAGGTCATTTTAGTGACGAAAATTGATGTTTAGAGATAAAATCAATCTATCACCAAAGGCCTTTTTTGTTGTAGTGAGGATTAGCTTTGGATGTCTCTTGTTCAATGTTTACTTGGCTTCATTCAACCCTTTAAGTAATTATTTCTTTGTTTCAGTGACAAGCAGATTCAAAAGGGTGTGAGACTCGGTTATTTCTTTATGCAGGAAAGTGTTGCTGAACAAATACATCAAATCATGGAGCTTGAAAATGGCTAACCTTCCTAAGGGATAGTAAATGGCTAAGTTTAATAACAAAACTTGAAAATGTAGTTAGAAAGTAGGAATATATTACTAAGATTGGAAACTTGAAATTCTTCCAACAAGCTTCAGCTAGTTTCTGCTCTTTTTGACTCAAAAGTAATGTCTCAGATTTGCAAGCTGAAGTTTTAGCTCTTAATCATTCATCATTACGTGCAGAGACGGAGACTCCAAGCTGAGGTGAATGATGAAGTTTGAAGACTTCTTTCTTAAGCTCTGAATTCATAACCTGCAAACACGGTTTAGAGATATGATTGGTAATTTTCTTGATCCAAGCATCCTACTTTTCACATGTTTTCTCATTAATATAATTTCCTACTCTCATAAATGATCACTTTAGTGGATAGCTTTTGTTTTGTAAAGGACAACCTATTTTTAATCCCAAACTTCAGTTAATCACCTTGGTTGGAGCTGTTGTTGCAAATTTTTGTATAACTAGATTTTTTTTTCACCTTATTTGTGTTTACCTTTTGCATTGTTCATGCCTTTAACGTCGATCTACTTTTTTCTGGGCTAAGAATCTTGTACAACAGGGCATTTCTTATGGAATCTCCGAGTCATTTGGCAAGAAAATTAGCAAATCTTGTTGGAAAAAATGGTTTTATATAGGCATATTTTTTAACCCATTTTGGGTGAACCCCAAACGTCTTTTGGAGTGGGTCCGAAGAGGTGAAGTGTTCCTTGCCGTGTGGCAAGTCACACGATGAAGACGAAACGTCAAAACCATTTATGAGTGAATGAGAAGTTGA